AGCACCTGCTCTGCGAATGTCCAGCCCAATTCTGCAAGAGGCTCAAATTCCTCGAGGGGGCAACACTGTCACCACAAGAAGTGGGCCAACTAACACCCAGGAAAATAGCTTCCTTCGGCACAAGTCTACGCTTCCTGGAGACAATTTGAGATGTACAGTCATGTACAAAATATCTGCAAAGGTAGCAGTGCTGAGCGGCTGAAAAGCCGAAACGACTCCCACGCAATCTACAATCTACAATTTACAGAACTGAAGAAATCAGTCAGCATTTTCAGAATATGTTTGTCAGCTATCCATACTCTAACGTTACCATCTAATTACGCAGATGAAACAGTTTATACGAAGTCAATCCGAACACCAAAAAAAATTGACCGACTAGAAGAGGCCGTCTAGCGTCAGTTAAAACTGCAAGTGACGTATTCTGCACGATCAGCGTACCTATTTTTAAAAATTGTATTCTTGCAATAGGTTAGTTTTAGGGTCAAAGAGATTGTAATAGGTTAATTTTGAGTTTAGAAAAATGTTGTGTCCTAGTAAAGATATGCTTTCGGCAATGTTTCGGAATATATTTTTCCTTTTTCAAGCCTTAAACTATTGTTTTTGGAGTCCGTGCAGGATGGAGAGCGTCACTTCTTAACATACTTTAGGGATAGCAATAAATTTTCCCAAATTTTAAAGGACATGGCAGTAGAAACGTGTATTCTTAGGCACCGGTCAATTTTTAAAATTTTTGGATATGTTGTAGGCTATATCAAGCCAAACATTTTTTTCCCTATGACTCTTTTGTGGCTATACCGAATACCGGGTGGCACTAAAATGCTCTTTCAAAGAGCATTTTAGCAGAAATGGATCATTTATGTTATAATATAGGTAAACATCCAGGTAATCCATAATTAAGTTAAAAAGACTTGCTAGATAACATACAGGGTGTATCTATATAATGATCAATATTGAAAATATATAAACAGGGCCAGCGACTAGACCCATAGGCTTTATTGGGATCAGTTGACTATTCTACTGCAGGATCATCATTGATTGTCCTGCATGTTATTGAAATTTGTGCATCTTCGGCAGCTCGGCTTCGGCAGCGCCGCCTCGATTTGCCTAAGCTGGGTACATAATATTACTCCCTATGTGTCTAGTAGGTTGGTCCAGTATGAACCATACTTTTCCATTGAATATCTACGATGGATACATGTATGAAATCTTAAATATTGTCTTTCACGTCAATTAACTTTTTTGTGTAGCTATAGCCAATTTTAAGCCATTGTCCAGTCGGTCATCTTGACAGACAGATAAGCAATGCATTTAACGTCAGTTAAGACCAATTGGTTAACAAATGACGCTTAATTAATGGTTTTTCTGTCAAGATGATCGCATAAAATTGGCTTATATCGTGCTCCTTTGAAGTTTATACTCTGACTTTTCTACATTTCGGTTTTTTTTTGACAGAAAATGTAGCCAATGCACAATGGAAATAAATACATTTGTGTTTGGCTTTATTAGATGCGAAAGTCTATGTTAACATACTAATAGTGTTGTATAGCAAGTTTTTGCTGAATTTTCTGGGTGGCTACAAATTCGTGAAAAGACTATGAAAGAATGTCGGGGAAGTTAGCAACACATTGGAAGCAGAATCGCCTAAACATGTTCCTGCTTGTGCTGCTATGGTCCTGCCTCCTCCTGCTCCAAATTAGTCCCCAACAACAAGTACTATTTTCGAGATGCAGCGATTTTAATTCTGGTTGCTAACTTTACCCTTGGCGATACACTGGAAGCAGGATTGCTCAAACATATCAGGTTGCTGATTGTGCTGCTATAGTCCTGCCTCATTCTGCTTTAAATCACACCCCGGCAACAAGTATTATTTTCTAGATACAGGGATTTCTATTATGGTTTGCAACTTTACACTTGGCAACGCATTGGAAGCAGGATCGCTCAAACATGTTCCTGTTTGCGTTGCTATGGTCCTGCTTCCATTTTCACCCCAGCAACACCTAATATTTTTGAGATACTTACACACTGATAGCATTAAAAGAGTCTAGTCGTAGGAATAGGGAGTGCTCGAGATATCCTTGCCAAATGTATCGTAATGGATGCTTATCTCTATATTATGGTATTATAGATGCAGAGAGCTACTCCAATTCAATTCAATCCTTGTATAAGCTATTTTCGTCTAAAATATCAACATACGAAGACTAACATTCATTACAAAAAGACAAATTAATTTGGATTAGGACTTTTCGTCTCATTATGATAGATATGGCAACGGTGTCGAGAGCTCTCCAGTGTGTATCTCAAAATAAAAGGTGTTGCAGGGGTGAAAATTAAAGCAGAATGAGGCAGGATTATAGCAACACAAGCAGGAACATGTTTGAGCAATTCTGTTTTCAGTGTGTGGTCAAGGGTGTTAGTTAGGTACCAAAATAAAAATTACTGTATCTCGAAAATAGTACGTGTTGCCGGGGTCAGATTTGAAGAAGGATTATAGCAGCACAAGCAGGAACCTGTTTCAGCGATCCTTTTTCCAATGTGTTGTGAAGCAAGTGAGCAACCAAAATGGAAATCGATATATTTCGAGAAAACGGTGGGTGTTGCTTGGAGCAGAGATGCATCCTAAAGATCCTGCTTCCAATGTGTTGTTAGCTTCCCCGACATTATGAAAGATAATAATGTATGAAATAGGAATGTTTAATATACAGGGCGTTTCACAAACATCGAAACGTTAAGGGATACTATATGGTCGATTAAAAAAAAAAACAAGCTTGGACACCTTAATTTTGTATTCAAAGGGGAAGCTTTTTGACAGTATTTCACTAGGGTGCACCTCCTGGATGGGGTGACTTTCACCACTTTTTTTGATAGGGAAGATGGGTTGAGTGGTACCTTGTTTTAAAGGTATTTTGGTTCTCGTCACAAGGGCGTATTTTTTTGAAAATTCAATGATTAGTTTTCAAGAAATTCACTGTTAAAGTTGGTATAGGCTAAATAAGAGTTCGAGAGGATAGTGCAAGGAAAAGTGTTAATTCGAGAATAACAGAGCTGAGAATCATGGTTATCGTGAGATTAACTTTAAAGACAATGATTTTTAATCTCTAACTTCCCTATCAAAAGATTAGTTCTTGGAGTTTGTGTATGGATATTGTGGTCCCGTTTTTATGTGCAGCAATGTTACCTAAAAGCAACTTCGAAAAGTTCTCACTCTCGTTTCCAATGTCAGTCCTATTCTAGCCATGAAAAGTACACTTTATTATAAGCTGAATGTTGTATTAATAGTTGCCCCAGATGGATATATTGATAGATATACATGCACCTTATTTTAGTGACTCAAGAATTAAGAAACAATGATGATTCAAATAGCCAGCATTTCATGGTTTTTAGGATATTCAAAATATGAGGAACATTATCCTCAAAATAATCTTCTTCGCTCTGTTTAAGATGCTGCAAATCGGTACGAACCTGAAATAGTAAATGTTTAGTCAGAGTTTAAACTTCACATTAGCTTTGCGGGTCTCCCGGTATAGCTACACAAAAAAGTAGATACCTAGCAAAAGAAAAATGCTTCTTTGACGTAAACAACAATATTTATCTGAGATTTCAAATATCCATCCGTAGATATTCAATGGAAACATTACATATTTTCAATATTGTTCATTATAGGTACACCCTGTATGTTATCTATGCAAGTCTTTTTCACTTAATTGTAGATGTCTACTTTATTATTACATAAATGATCTATTTCTGTCTGTCATCGCGTAAAAAAACCACAACACACAAAAGCATGAAAAATTCGCTTTGAAAGAGCATTTTCGTGACACCCGGTATAGCCACAAAAACTTATAAGGTGAAAAATGTTTAGATTGATATAAGCTACAACATATCCAAACATTTCAAAAATCGACCAATGCCTAGGATTACACGTTTCCAGTGCCATGTCCTTTGAATGAAGTTGGCTAAACATTCAAATTTATTTATGTGTTTTTATTAAAGAAGGTCCACTTCCACTAAAACAATAGTCCATTTTCAAGATTTTGACAAGCTGTCATAAAGAACTCGATAAGACCTTCAAAACGAGATATGACACGAGCCTTATTATCACCCAGCTAGGGGGTTTTCAGAAGACTTACCACCAGATAAATCACAAAAAAATCAACTTTTTACTTAACGAAATATGATGTTTCAATAATTAATAACACGGTTTAATAAATTGCGAAAAAAATTATTCAAACTGTGGTATTCTTCATGAAAACACTTAACAAAATTACCCTGTTGAAACCCACAAATTCGTCGTTATCCAAACAAAGTTATGTAAAATGACGATGCAACCCCCTCGTGTAAAATTGCGGTTCCGGGTTATCGTGGCCGGGGCCTCGTTATCTATTATTATTGGGATTTCAACAATGCGCATTTGTATCAGTTTTCCCTCTTGGAAACAACAAAAAAAAAACGCAGGATCGTTCCATACAACATACAAACCGCATGATGATTAACTTTATGCAAATTGCATTTCAAACGGGCAATTTATATTGACATTTTGAGGCTATTTTTTTTTTGTAGGCGATCAATGAACGGCAATTAAACCGATGCAAATTAATTCATTTGAGCAGAAATTCAATTACATACTTTGTTTTTGAATTGAATATTTGCAGCCTTGTTTTAGATTATACAGGTTTAATCTGAAGAAAATTTCATCTCATTCCAAAAATGTTCTATATTTCTTTTCATTCAAAAAGGGCTCACTCGTAAAAGATTTATGCGAAAAATGCAGCTTTTAAGGTGACATCCGGTCGTATTTCAGTCAGCGGCAATGTTTAGGCAAACAAATTTCCTTTTATATTATACACGTAGTTTCCATATAAATATGCGAAGAGAGTTAAGGGCCTTATGTACGTGACATATTTTCATATGATATTAATTTTCTCGAGAAGTTGTTTACTCTTCTTTGAAGGAATTTTTAATACTCAAATTAATAATTTCCAAGAAAAACATTTTTCACTCACCTGAAAATATTTGCGGCAGAAAACAAACCTTCGGATATCAACATGGGATCCCAAGCGTCCCAATCCTTTCTCGCTATGACTTCGGGATTTTGCATCACCTGAAAAAAAAAATTCCAATTTATTCTCGGAATTCTTTCGCACATAAATAAAACATCACCTCGTAATAGGAGACAACCCTTAAGGCCACTGTGGCAACGTATAACGAATTCGTAATAAAATCGATAACATTCCACATATCTCGCACATATTCCTCCAGGCCTACGTCCCAGAGCTGTTTGATTTCGCTCCAGATTAAACCTGAAATAATATTATACAATTTCAATAATTACAATATTTCTTGTATAATAAGAAAAGTTTTGTGTTGACTTTGTAGCAGCCTTTATATGTAAGTGAAAAATTCAAAAAAGGAAAGAGCAATCAAAAAATGTTTGCCCTTTGTGCAGCCCTTTTCAAAGACCTAATTTTAAATTTCAAAGGGAATACAGATTAAAACATGGAAAGATAATATTAGTAGAAGTAAATTGAATTTTTTTTCTACTAAGAAATGTGTGTCATACCTAACTATATTGAATCTAATAATGGGTATTCATTTCTAGAAAATGAAAAGTTAGTCGCCTCGTTCAAAAGAGAGCAACTTCATTTTAATTAAAAAAAATTCCTAAGCGGCTAAAGTGAACCGCATTTCAACTTTAAAGTGCAAATAGAGTTTTTTTTTTTTTTGTTTTTCGACTTACCACTTACGTATGAAAGGATGATCCATTCTACCAGAGAAGGCTTGGAGCCTCGTTGAATTATAATTTCCTCGTCGCCGCCGTTGAAAAAGAGTTGACGTTGCGAAGCCAGAATTAACATGACTGTAACGATAAAATGATAATGGCAAACAAATCTTATTTAGTGTGAAACTGATGTTTTTCTTCTGATACCGAAACTTTTTCTTACATTTTCAATTCCCCAAAGTAAATAGTTACAAGTTCTGATATGTTTTTCCTTAGAGTTTAATTTCGAATCTAATTAATATTATGTCAAAACAACAAATTGCCTTTTAAACTCTTGCTAATCTAAAATATTCTACTTACATAAAAACGTGAAATAGCTGGCTGAATGGCAAATAAATTTAATAAAAGGTTTTCTCATAGTTTGTCCGATGACAGAGTGAGGGGCCATTATGTAAACTATGGAGAAAAACGGAAATAGAATGCCTATTCTGACAATTTCGAAAGCTTGGAGTAGCATATTTTTCCGACGGAATCCTGGAAGGCCTTCGTACCAAATCGAAGCCAACAGTTGCTGGACGTTTGAGTGGGCTACAAACTGAAACAGAATTATTATTATAGTTGATTTTGACTAAGGCCCGGTTTATTCATTTTCAGATGAATTTGCTGCCAGTTAAATTGACCGTTTTATAATTCTATTGGTTGACGAATAACTGGCCGACCAATGGGATTACAAATTGCGTTATTATCTGTCAGATTGCATACCAGAATGTGAATAAACCGGCCCTAAAACAGCTACAAATTTAATATGGTGTAATATAAGCTGAAATTAGAAATAATAAATAAATAAAGAATTGGCAGTCATGACATAATTCGTCAGAAAATCATAAAGTTCCTGTAAAATCGCCTTTGGAGGTTCCTATAGAAAATACTTCGGAACATTCCAGCAACTTGAAATCTCCAGAATTTATTAATTAGAGTTTTTTCACGATAGAAAAAAAATTAGAAGTTGATATAAGACTCACAACTGAAGTTGAGAATTATTTTAATCATTAATAACTGAGAAAATCATAAAATTCCTGTGAAATCGCCTTTAAAGGTTCCTAAAAAATACTTCAAGCTGTCCCAGCAACTTAAAACTTTTAGGATCCATTAATTAGAGTTTTTCCATGATACAAAACAAATTAGAAGTTGATATGAAACTTGCAACTAAAGTTGCGAATTTTTTTACTCATTAATACCTGAGAAAATCATAAAGTTCCTATAACATCGACTTTGAAGATCCCTGAAAAATACTTCGAGCTATCTCAGCAACTTGAAGCTTTCAGGATCTATTAATTAAAGTTTTTCCATGAAACAAAACAAATTGGAAATTGATATGAAACTTGCAACTGAAGTTGCGAATTTTTTCACCAATTAATACCTGAGAAAATCATAAAATCCCTATAAAATCGAATTTGAAGATTCCTAAAAAATACTTCGAGCTATTCCAGCAACTTGAAACTTTCAGGATCAAATAATTAAAGTTTTTCCATGATACAAAACAAATTGGAAGTTGATATGAAACTTGCAACTATAGTTGCGAAGTTTTTCACTCATTAATACCTGATAAAATCATAAAATTCCTATAAAATCGACTTTGAAGATTCCTGAAAAATACTTCGAGCTATCTCAGCAACTTGAAACTTTCAGGATCTCTAAATTAAAATTTTTTCATGATAAAAAACAAATTGGAAGTTGATATGGAACTCGCAACTAAAGTTGCGAATTTTTTTACTCATTAATACCTGAGAAAATCATAAAATTCCTATAAAATGGACTTTGAAGATTCCTGAAAAATACTTCAAGCTATCCCAGCAACTTGAAACTTTCATGATCTCTTAATTAGAGTTTTTCCATGATACAAAACAAATTGGAAGTTGATATGAAACTTGCAACTAAAGTTGCGAATTTTTTTTACTCATTAATACCTGAGAAAATCATAAAATTCCTATAAAATCGACTTTGAAGATTCTTGAAAAATACTTCAAGCTATCCCAGCAACTTGAAACTTTCAGGATCTTTTAATTAGAGTTTTTACATGGTACGAAACAAATTGAAAGTTGATATGAAACTTGCAACTAAAGTTGCGAATTTTTTTATTCATTAATATCTGAGAAAATCAGAAAATTCCTGAAAAATACTTCGAGCTATCTCAGCAACTTGAAACTTTCAGGATCTATTAATTTAAGTTTTTCTACGATACAAAACAAAATGGAAGTTGATATGAAATTCGCAACTAAAGTTGCGAATTTTTTTATTCAATAATACCTGAGAAAATCATAAAATTCCTATAAAATCAACTTTGAAGATTCCTGAAAAATACTTCGAGCTATTCCAGCAACTTGAAACTTTCAGGATCTATTAATTAAAGTTTTTCCATGATACAAAACAAATTGGAAGTTGATATGAAACTTGCAACTAAAGTTGCGAATTTTTTCACTCAATAATACCTGAGAGAATCATTAAATTCCTGTAAAATCGCATTTGGAGGTTCCTAAAAAATACTTCAAGACATTCCAGCAACTTGAAACTTTCAGGATTTAATAATTACAGTTTTTTTTATGATACAAAACAAATTGCAAGTTGATATAAAGCTCACACTTGGAGTTGCGAATTTTTTTTAGTTTGTAACAAAATTTCCTAATCCCTACGCCACTGGTCCCCTGTATAATTTAGTTTTCTTTGTTAATATAAAGCCCAATATACAGTAATCAATTTTCTCTATCGGTTCTCGTTTAATTCTTCCCGTGTATTCAACTTCCCTAATAATTATCTTACAAATTGGCGCCCAACGTGGGGCCACGGTGAGTTCCAAGAATAGTAGAGTGATTACTGTGTGCCGATAGCGATTCTCGTGTAGTTGGTTGATGAAACTCATGGAGTTTTTCGCGCTCATTTGGTACGGGAGTCATCACTGAGAAATAGCCGAATTGTGAACAACTGTGACGCGTTAGGTACTGCGGGACGTGAGTTATCACCGGTTTTCTGTACTTTTTGTATAAATTATAACCGAAACTTTGTCGAAATCGTTACTTTCCTAATAATTATCTTACAACTTATTGAAAGGTTACTGAAAAATACCTTCTAGACATCCCAGCAACTTGAAATTTTCAGGATTTATTAATTATTAGTCTGTAAAAAAATTTAAAAAAATAAAGAAGTAGTGAATGAAAATTTAATTCGTTCTACATTCTTTGCGTGCTCTAAGTACCTATCCAAAAGATTTATTTTAATAGAATCAGTGAAAGTAAGGAAAAATTGTAAGTACATGAAGGGGTTGTTTAAGACTTCGACTTCTGTATATTCTGATATGCTGTAAATCTTCCCAAAAGCCATTTTTGTTCACAATTTACTTGGATATAATACACATTTTATCTCAGCTCGAAAGCCTAATAATTATTATTGAAAGTAAAAAGAAAGAAAAAAAATGCTCCAAAGATTCTATAGTAAACAAAGGCGCGAAAAGTTTCCGATAAAAATCCGCATTTGCGAGACAATTTCGCTTTTTTCAAAAAAACGCCACTTTTCAGTATAAATTGGAGTCCGAGCCCCTAACAATGCCGCAATCAAAACTAGATAATCAATCACGCCCGAGCTGTTTGCTTTTCGCTAACGAAAGAGGAGAATAAAACGAAAATAGAAGTGGAAGTGGTTCAATTTATGAATTGATTCACTTTTTCCGTGTCAAAAGGCCTCTATACATTAATCGGTGCAATAAGGTAAGTCGTTAAAAGGTAACCGACTGGCTTACTTTTGGGTCGACGAACTTTCCGTTGCAATCTTTAATCTGACCGAGATTTTTTTCGTCGATATACGGAAAATCGTTAAATGTTTTTAGGGCGATAATTAATTTTTTCGTTGGGTTACGATGCAATAAATCAAGCCTTGTATGTTTTTAATTATAAGCGTACATTTCATTGGAGTCAAATATTTGTCCGCGTCGATATAATATTTATTATTGAATTATATTTATAATTATAATAGTTTGACCTGCATGTACTTATGACTTGAATTATATATTTTATTAATGTCCTTTGAAATGGAAGATACAGTTAGTTGTGCTCCAAGGTCTTTGGAAGAGGTTTTAGAAGCTTCAGAAACAGAGTTATTTTGAAATTAAATAATTGACTTCAAATTCCTTGAAAGTGCTTCAAATACTTGAGAAGTCACTCATAGATATGAGGCACTACTTTGAGGGGACCAAGTGACAGATTAATCAATGAAATTGCGACATATTCACTTGAACAAATAATTATATTTCTTAGAAATAGCAGGAGAAGATTTTCGATCAACGTATTGAACTAATGCAAGAGAATAATTTAGTGAAATTAAGGAAAAATTGTAAGTACATGCAGGAATAATTTGAGTTGAGACTGTTTCAAATATTCAACTTCTAAATATTGAAAAGATCGATAGGTATAATATCATAAAGTTTCTATCTAGGTAATCCATCAAAAACTGACCCAAAAACAGTATAAATTTGCGAAACTTTAAAGTGAACCAACCTAAATGCACGTCTGGTCCGTACCAAGCGTATAAAGCGTATTTGGAACAACGAAATTTAAATGTGAGAGACATTGGCTCGACGACCTACAGCCCCAGATTTTGCCAGGCGAAATTTACCTCTGTTTCTGAAAAGTGCATTTTGTCATAAATTAGCTGCATGAGTGCGAAACTGTAAATTTAGGATTACAATGTGAAAAAAGCAGCTTCTATTTGAAGAATTATTAATTAATGAAAAAGCTCAACTATTGGATTGAAGCTTTTCCAATTTGCGAAACATTTTCCAAATTTCGACATTAATTTCTCAAAGCCAAATATGATACGACACACGCTTCAACTTTCAGTCAAATCGTGCATTTTCCAGGTCACTTCCCGGTGCATTAAATACAATTTTCCCCGGTGCATGAATAAAATATGGATTTTTACCCCACTTCGTGCATTGAACCCTAGATACTATTAAAGATTATTATGGGGCGTAGCCTTAATTCACCCCCTATTAATTTACCTTTTTCTGTCTAAGTTTTATCGCCAACTTGAGCCGATTGAGGTGCATCCGATCGCCGTGATTGAAAGCCGGTCCGGTAGGATCGTGATTCAAAAGTACCTCCAGCTCGTAGGAGCTTCGCGTGTGGTCCAATAGGGCCGTCGCGAAATCCTGACATTGTTTGCGCAGCTCCTGGTATTCGCCCCGGAACTCGTGCTCCATGAAACTCAAACTGGAAAATCGGGATAAAAGCTTAGAGAACAATACAAATTAAGGGCTTTGGCGAAATGCATTCCAGGTGGTTTTTGGGGAGTTGCGTGCCAATACGGTTTCTGTCTCGTCATGAACTTTTGTCAGACGATGTTATGTTGTTTTGGAAAGGATTGAGGGAAACTGGTAATGGACGAACTAATTTTGGTAGGTATATGATGATATGTTTGGATGGAAAACAAGATAGTTTTCCTATAAACTTATTTTTTAAGTGGTTGATATATATTTTTTTCTTCTATTGGAATTACTGCTAATTTCACAACTGGTCTCTCGAATATTCCATTGGAAGTTTGGACCTTTGCCCTTCTGACTTGACCATCAATGCCCCGTCTTGCTTCAACAATTCTTTCTTTGGACCAATTGCATCTCGGAAAATTCTTATCGCAGATAATTACAATATTCCCTTCTTTGACTGGGTTAACTTGTGTGAACCATTTATTTCTTAAGCAATTTGGGGTGATTTATCAATTTTTCAATTTTTCTGAGTGCCTTTTTTCATAGATTCCGACAAATCTGAGAATAATTTAGTTTATGGAGTTCAGGGTATCACGAGGAACCATTAGGACACAAAATCTCAACAAAAAAAAAATTGAAATTTCATCATTTTAGTAAGAAGGTACCCCCCTTATGATTTTTTTGGAAAACTTTGAAAGGTCATAACTTTTTTTCTATTATAGATAGAAAGCTGAATCTTTTACTGAATTTTATCTTTCTCAAAGGACTACAATCCCTGAAAATTTTACTTCATTTGCACTTATAGTTCCTGAGATAAAATCGTGTTAAGCAATTTGGGGTGATTTATCAATTTTTCAATTTTTCTGAGTGCCTTTTTTCATAGATTTCAGCTTCAAATCTGAGAATAATTTAGTATATGGAGCTTGGGGCATGTTTATTGACCATTAGGATACAAAATCTCGACAAAAAAAAATTTGAAATTTCATCGTTTTAGTAAGAAGGTACCCCCCTTATGATTTAGATTTTGGAAAACTTTGAAAAGTCATAACTTTTTTTCTGTTATAGATAGAAAGCTGAATCTTTTACTGAATTTTATCTTTCTCAAAGGACTACAATCCCTGAAAATTTCAGCTCATTTGAACTTATAGTTCCTGAGATAAAATCGTGTTAAGCAATTTGGGGTGATTTATCAATTTTTCAATTTTTCTGAGTGCCTTTTTTCATAGATTTCAGCTTCAAATCTGAGAATAATTTAGTATATGGAGCTTGGGGCATGTTTATTGACCATTAGGATACAAAATCTCGACAAAAAAAAATTTGAAATTTCATCGTTTTAGTAAGAAGGTACCCCCCCTTATGATTTAGATTTTGGAAAACTTTGAAAAGTCATAACTTTTTTTCTGTTATAGATAGAAAGCTGAATCTTTCACTGAATTTTATCCCTTTCAAAGGACTATAATCCCTGAAAATTTCAGCTCATTTGAACTTATAGTTCCTGAGATAAAATCGTGTTAAGCAATTTGGGGTGATTTTTCAATTTTTCAATTTTTCTGAGTGCCTTTTTTCATAGATTTCAGCTTCAAATCTGAGAATAATTTAGTATATGGAGCTTGGGGCATGTTTATTGACCATTAGGATACTAAATCTCGACAAAAAAAAATTTGAAATTTCATCGTTTTAGTAAGAAGGTACCCCCCTTATGATTTAGATTTTGGAAAACTTTGAAAAGTCATAACTTTTTTTCTATTATAGATAGAAAGCTGAATCTTTCACTGAATTTTATCCCTTCCAAAGGACTACAATCCCTGAAAATGTCTGCTCATCTGCACTTATAGTTCTTGAGATAAAATCGTGTTAATATTAATTGTGGAGTGTACTCTTTAATAAAGCGCTTCCAACATTTGTTGGCAAACTTTTTCCTATATAGGTAATTATATTTAAGTATTTTCGCATCATCATTTAATTTTCCAATCGGTTTGTCACCATTTGAAGAGCCCAGCAAAAAGTGATTTCGAGTTAAAGCTTCAGCTTCTTCAGATTCAAAATGAAGGTATGTTAAAGGTCTTGAGTTAACAATATTTTGTGCTGCTATCAAGCAACTTTGCAACAAGTCTACATCTGGAGTTCGCGTAGGTAAGGCATCATGTAATGAAATTTTGATTGCTTCATCTTCTGAATCTACCAATCGGAAACGCCATTAGATTCCAATATTTGACAGCTAACATCGCCTCACATGTCATTCAATACATGGTTGTAGCCATAGTAAAAAATGTTGCTCAGGCTGAGGACACAATGACAAATACAAGGTAATACAAGAAACAAGATACAAACTTCCAAAAATTCGAAAATTTGTAATTTGAATTGTAAACTGTCAAAAAGCAGTAAATTGTCTGCTGTATCCTTTATTTTGGGTTGTAGTGATACATGTATTATTATATTTTTGTCTCTAGTTACTTGTACCTCGTATTTGTCATTGTGTCTTCAGTTTTACGGTATTCCATTATCCAAATATCACAGGTAACCAATTTCCATTTAAATATTGCGGGGTCCTTTGTTGATAAATCTAAATTTGTACTCGTAGATGAATCACAAATTTTACAGGTTTCAAGGTTAATTTGGTTACCTACCTACTGTCGATTTTCTGCATATTTTCAACTTATTTTCCTTTTGTGTGCTCCACTCGTTTTTTTGTCCATTTTGCAGAAATAACTATCTCTACCTACTACGACAAACGCCAATAATTAAAAACTATACTTTGAAAATTTGAAATACACAACGCATGAACTCAGAACTAGTGATGACTTGACCAGTATTCAATAACCAGTTAACCTGTTAACTAGTAACACTTCACATCTTCATTCACATTCAGAAATGCTGCCGGGTTCAATCGCAGTGGTTCCACTATTTTTAGGACCCGTATATAGTACCAAAAAGATACATTTTTGCGCTGGTGACGCATGTGAGTTTTACCATTCAAACCTGTGCATATTATCAAAAATAATCAATGCTATGCGCGCGAATAATAATCTTCAAATCCAAAAATATTGTCACCAACGATAAGATGCCAAATTTAGTTAAACCAACGTTAATTAATAATTAATTAGACGCTAACAAAAATTTATTAAAGATTCTTCAACACAATCACATCAAGTTGGATAAAAATCTCACCATAAATGAGATATATTGAATAACAGTAATATTTTCGTCCCTAGAATTTAATTCAAATTCAAGGAGTTCCCATTCAAACAGTTATCTCCATTTCAACGTAGAAAATACTCTTATAACATTCAGAGTTTTATTCATAATTTACTTGGATATGATTCATTTATATTGTTTAACATTGAATTCAAAAATTCGTTACTTACCGTCTCAATTCCCACGAAAGTTCGAAAGCAGTCAAAATCGGATCCTTAGAAGACAAAGCAATTAAAGATGGCGAAGCTAAAGCTCTATAAGCGTTAATCCTGGACCGGGAATGCCTTAAGGAGTCCTCCATCCTGGACGTGACGCATTCGTCGCAACCGCATCTGTAATAATGGGAAATCGAAAATCGTTTAAGTTCCAAAACAACATGAACGATGCTAGGATTTATTTTCGGATAGTTTACGATCATATCCTTTGAGAGTGTAAAATTTTAGTGGGACGATAAAAGGGACTTTATCGTACTAAATGTGTCATTTCGTTTTAGACGGTTTTGTCGTAACAATAAAGCTGCTGTATTACATAATTAGCTTATCTATATTATTGAAATGGTTATTTTTGATTTAAACATACTTTTCCTTTTAAAAAAAATGTTTGAAATTATATAATTAGGTAAAGTAGTTACGTAAATTTCTGTATTATGTATCTGGTCTATTGAAAACCAAAGCAAAAGTAAGACAAAGAATTAACATGAGCCGGAATTGAATTCAAAATATATTAATATTTCACTTGGAATGAAGGCGGTGTAGCATATCAAAATATGTACATATTTCCACAAAGAATAAAACTCGGAACTTTAACAAAGCGAATTCGCAACCAACAAAGACAAATCCTTGCGTCTGTTATTCAAATGCATAAGCAAAAAAAACTCTTTTGTATTCTAAAAATTTAATAAACATTTATGCATTGAAGGTAGATTTTCACAGTTCTTACCTTACATCGTGAGGCATAGGTAAAGTGGCTCCCCGATCTAAAAGTATTTTAATAATTTCGTAATTATCTCGGTGCGCTGCTAAAATTAAAGGAGTGATGTCGGGAGTGAATGTGGCAGTATCCGGAGGTAGAGCTTCCCAACTCTGAAACAATATTAATGAAATAGTTGATATTCAAAAAGCATAAAATCCAAGCTATTAAGTAAAGTGGCGTAACGTGAGTAATTTCGGATTAGATTTTAGTTTAAACCCTCAAGGAAAATATAAATTAGGTGCTTAGTTCCGGTAAATTTATTATTCTGAAAGCGTTTTGCGGATTAACTATAAATATCCAATTCTTGCTCGCGTTTGTTTTCGCATCGTTAAATCTCAAACAAACACAAAAGACACTTCTTCTAGCTGTCCTTAATGTCACTTTATATCGAACTGCCCCGATGCGACAACGGTAAACAACCATAAGATTGCTGATGCTGATAAAAGTTTGCTTTAACTGACATGTTTACCTCAAGATGTTCTCTTTCAATTGGAGTGTAAATAAGTTTCCTCATTTTGGCATAATAACAATGGGAATTTGCTGACAAAGAAACAAAGGGTGTGTGTTACATTTTCTTGTAATTAATGGGCTTTCATTACTATGTACTTTGACCTTATTTTGATATAAATTCCAAACAAAAATTATTATAGGTCTGTTCTAACACGTCCCTTGAACGGTTTCGAAACCACTCAGTGAACAAATTTCTGTTTCTACGCACATATTTTACGCATTGTGCAGAATCGTGACGGTACAGGGTGTTTTTTTAAATATTGACACCCCACCTACAGCCTTTACCTTTACAGGTAGAAGAAAGTTGTACAGTTTTAGCTGAATTTTTAGAAACCATGGTCAAAAACAAAATTTGAATGTCAGAAATGAGAAATTTTAAATGCTTCCAGCTTTTACCAAATGGGATGCCCTATATCTCATTCTATATTCTTGAAGAGCACAATGCCCTGATTCCAAAAATATATAGTTTGTATATATTTGATTGAACAGTCTCTCATATATTCGGCTCTAAAAATTGTAAAAGACTATCCTACTACTGATTTTATGAACCATTCTAACTGTACAGGTGAAAGCTGCAAGTAAAATTTGAGGTTCTTGGTTTTCTATGATGGTATTTTTAAAATTTCTAGAACCAAATATGTTGAAGACGGCTCAACCAAATAAAAACAAACTATACAAGATGTCAATTTGAAAACTTCCCACCTCTATTATCTCGGAGTAGAAAAATTTTCGAAAAAATCCCTGCAAAATTCACCTTCCCTCTTTCAACCCCCCCGCCCCCAGAGCCACCCCCTAGAAAATTTCAAATGGGAAGGGGGGTCAAGTGATACATCATTTTGGAGGGTTTTTAATTCCATACATTTTAGTGCAATCCCCAAGTTCAACTGTTTTGGAAATATTGACAGTTGAAATTTGACTTTTTTGCAACTTTGACAGGCTGTAAAACCTAAACGGTTAATTTTAGCGGAAAACCAATCTTACATTCTTATCTTAAATGTTTATAAACTATTATTTGACAGCAACTTCGAATTTAATCCATGATCAAAAATTCCGTTTGAAAATTTAATCTCCGGTTAAATTCAAAAATGGTGTCAAATGATAGTTTATGAAAGTCTAAGATAAAAATGTAAGATCGGTTTTCCTCTAAAATTAACCGTTTAGGTTTCACAGCCTGTCAAATTTACAAAAAAGTATCAATTTTCAACTGTCAATATTTCCAAAACAGTTGAGCTTAGGGACTAAAATTTGATACCAAAATGTATGGAATTAAAAACCCTGCAAAATGATGTATCACTTGACCCCCCTACCCATTTGAAATTTTCTAGGGGGTGGCTCTGGGGGCTGGAGGGTTGAAAGATGGAAGGTGAATTTTACATAAAAACTCATCCCCCTTCAAATTATAGTTGACGTGTTTCAGAGATTTTTTCGAAAATGTTTTTCCTCCGAGATAATAGGGTTTCAAATTGACACCCTGTATAGTTTTGGAATCGAGAAGTTGTGCTCTTCAAGAATATGAAATCAAATATAGGGCATCTGAAAGCATGCAACATTTTACCTTCCTGACATTCAATTTTTGTTTCTGACCAAAGATTTCAAAAATTTGCCCAATACTGTTCAACTTTTGTATTTACACCTTTCATCTACCTACCTGTAAAGGTAAAGGCTGTAAATGGGGTGTCAATATATAAGAAAACACCCTGTACTTGAACAATAACTTATTATGTAAAATCAGAATTTGTAAGATTATCCACTTTTTGTCAATTTGTTTTTTAACAGGAATTAGTAATGTTACCTACTTTACCAAACTAGTAACATAATGTAACAAGTTATTCAAGTACAAACTAGTGAATTGTTGCGGAACTTATGGGTGGACCTCTGCGGGACGAGCGCAGCGAGTTCCGCAGCCATCTACTCACCAATATGTGGTTTAAGTACGATACTAACCTGACTCACTCATAGTGATGCTGCGAGACTGGTCTGGTCTCGTCTCGAAAGGTCTTTCTACATATCTACTTAATTTTCAGATTCCATTTCCGGTTTAGCCAGTAGTGAGACCAATTTAAAAAAATGTTTGAGGCATAAGCACTTTCGGCTTAACTGGAAATTAGATCTGAAGATAAAGTATATAGAAAGTATCCCATTAATTCACAAAAAAAATACAGGATGATTCTTTTTAAAAAAACTGTTTTGTCCTACATTTTTTTTAAATTTGACGTTCATGTTTTTTCAAACATCACGGATACTCTTAACTGTGATTTTTCATTCTTTGAATAACTGCTTTTTCACTGTGGCAGTTCGAATTTCCGTTGTAATACATAAATATTTGAAAATCTGTCAGAACAATTTAGAAATTACTGAAAAACTTTTAGAATGCTCCAGAACTCTTCGAGCCAAGTTAGAACACTTAAGACAAACCTCAGAATTATTTCAGAGAGTCTAACGCCTGGAATAGATAAAAATTGAAACCAACTTGAAAATAGGTACCTACACCCAGAATCCCATTTTTAACGGAATTCCACGAAATCCTACTGGAATCCAATAGAATTCCTCGAGGCATCCCATGGAATTTCTTATGTATTTTTGGAATTATTTTGAAAGCTAGCAAGCAAAGACTCTAAACAAAAAAGTCTTGTTTTTCAGTTTAGCCGCCACTACATAGGTACAAAGTAAAAACATAGACTAATCAAGTAAACTAAGGAATCCCATTGGAATCGCACAGGAAATCCACGAAATCCCACAGAATTCCACTGGAATTACACATGCTTGTACACTATAATTCCAAGATTTCCTGCTTTTAATGGCATCCCATTAAATACTACTGGAATCCCTCGATATCCTTACTGAAATACTACTGAAATCCCACGGTATTAAAAACATCAATTAATCAGGCAAAGTATAAGGAATCTCATTGGAATCCCACTGGAACTACACAGAATCCCAAAAAATCGCATTGCTTGTACACCATAATTCCAAGGAGGTTTACCCTTCAAGATTTCTTCAAATTCTTTTCTAGATTAGTCATTTTTGTAGAATCGATTTTTGACTATTCCAGGCACTTTTTTTTTTCAAAAACAAAAAAACATTAAAGAAATCAGCAATTATTATTATTTGAAAAATTTGGGAAATAACAATTACTCCCTAAGAAAGTGTATAGAGGAAATTAGAGAAGACTTAGAAAATTGAGAAAGAAATTCAAAAAATCTTTTTTGCAATCTCTTGAATTCCTTCTCTTTATTTCTCATTTCTTTAGTATCGATTTTTCATTATTCCAGGCTCTTGAATCCCTGTTTTTTTCTAAATTTATTTTTATAAAAAAAGTAAGAAATATTCAAGAACCTGGAATAGTAAAAAAGTGACACTGAAGAAATAAAAAATATAGACGAGAAATTCCAGTTTCTTAAATGTTTGTTTTCATATAAGAATAAATTTTGAAGAAATCGGAAATTCAAGAACCTGGAAAAATTGATTATCATCGTAAAAATAAGGAGAGAAAAAAATCTTTTGCATTTTCTTGAATTTTCTTTATTCTCTCGTTCTCCTGGGAAGAATTCCCATCACCTAAAAAAGCGCTAGGAAAGTAAAAAAAATCCGAAGAAGTACTGAAGAAGTTCAGAAAAGTTAGAGAAACTTCAAAGAAACTCCGGGAAAGCACCAAAAATATTTACCCATAAGGATGATTCTTTGCAAAATTTGGGGAATATCAACTACATATTACCTAAGAAAATACATAGAGAAAAGCCTGAGAAATCTGAGGAAAATTCAAGAGATTACAAAAGATTTCTTAAATATCTTCTTATTTCTAATTTCTCTAGAATCGATTTTTGACTATTCCAGGCTCTTGAATTGCTGTTTTTTTCTAAATTTATTTTTCTAAAAAAGTAAGGAACATTCAGGAGCCTGGAATATGGACAAATATTGACACTGAAGAAATAAAAAATAGAGAAAAGAAATTCCAGACTCTTTCTTAAATAAAAATAAACTTTGAAGAAATCAGCAATTTAAGAATAGTCAAAAATCGATTATAAAGAAATGATGAATAAGGAGAAAATAAATACCATAAATACATGGTGTCCGAAAAATAGCGTGAAAGCTCTCCACGTAGTAGGGGACCCTTCGAGAAACCCTAGAAAAATAATTGAAAAATTCCTCCTCCAGCATTATTCTTGGTAATATGAAGAGGTTAATATTAGGCATTCCAACGACCTGTCAAAAAGTGCGTTGTGGCAGAAGTTCATTATCCCGTATATGAGAGTATGTAATTTAATGCTTTTTAAAGTGCATTTTGTGGTTGTTTTGTGAATGAACTCTGTTTATTTTTTTATTTTATTAACTTCATTAGTGTTTCTTCCAATTAAAAATGCCACAAACGGGTCTTGAAGTTGTCAGGCTTTTTTTATTGCCCTTTGTTTAACCCTTCCACCTACAACCCGGGTACATTTTGGACCCACACTCAGAATTTTTGGCATATTTTGTGGATTTGACAGGTTAGCGAAGCGCCACTTTTAATAGCTGTTTATTATTGCAGTATACACGTGTATGCATATTGTAGGTGATGTTGTTTAAATTATTTAATTTTTATTTACAATAACTGAGGAAGGGTACATTATGTACCTCGGTTGTAGTAAAGCAGAAAAACAAATTATTCTTGATTACAACTCTACAAAAAGGGGTGTTCATACTTTGGACCAACTTATAATACATATATAACAACATATAATAATTATAATAATAATTTTAAAAAAAATTAAATAACAAATAATAAATTCTAGGACAGTTCTGTGTGCTATGGAAGGGTTTGGAGCCTACATACCAAAGTTAGCGCCCGAGCTTTTCTTTCTCAAAATTATGTTTTTATAATTTTTTTTTATTGTTAAAGATGTTTCTCAAATGTGTATTTATTATTTATTTGATGATGACATTCCACTAAAATATTCACTTAAATCGTGGGGACAAAATGTACCCAGGTTATCAAAAAACGTGTAAAAAATAGCTTGTAGGTCGAAGGGTTAAAAATTTTCCAATTAAAACGTGAAAATTTTTCACTACCACTGTTCCTGCATCTGAAATAAAGCCATTTTCGAAATATTCGTAAGAATCTAAGCTTTTGTAGGCCTTCATTTGCTCATTAATGTGAACTGTGGATCAAAATGTCATCTGGACATTTTTTTAAACTAACCGTTCGTCCAGATCCCGATTTTCCTGCATTCAAGTCTTTAAATATTCACTCTGCATCTCAAAAAGTATATTATAACAAAGTGAACTGTAATTAGCTTGAAAATATTCCAAATAAACTCAAGATAAACAAACAAACGTCAAATTTTCCACGGTCGCCATATTGAAAAATCACGTGGTTTGGAGAGCCTTATTCTCTGACATGTTGTCAACAGGTGCAAATAACTTTCTTAAGAATGCCACAAGATTTTTTAAATTATTTTTCTGGGGTTCCTTGAAGGGTCGTTCACCACGTAGTAAAGAGTTTTTACGCTATTTTCCGGACACTCTGTATAACTCGAGACCAGACGAGACCACTTGAAACGAGACTAGACTTTGGCACTCGAGACCGAGACTAAGTCACAGTCTCGTCTCGAGATTTCGAGACGAGACGAGACCAACAAATGTCAGTTATTCTTATTAGTCTAAAAACTACGTTTCAGGTGAATGTCTTTTTTGAATAGTTCAACAGTATATTGGTAAATTTCATCAGGAATTAGTAATGTTACTTTACCAAACTAGTAACGTAATGTGACAAGTTATTCAAGTACAAACGAGTGAATTGTTGCGGAATTTATGGGTGGACCTCTGCGGGACGAGCGCAGCGAGTTCCGCAGCCATCTATTCACCAATATGTTGTTCAAGTACGATACTAACCTGACTCACTCAAATGTCAGTTATTCTTATTAGTTCAAAAACTACACGTTTTAGGTGAGTTTCTTATTTGAATAGTTCAACAGTATATTGGTAAATAGATGGCTGAAACGTGTAATTTTTAAACTAATGAGAATAACTCACATTTGAGTGACTCAGGTTAGTATCATACTTAAACAATATATTGATGAATAGATCGCTGCGGAACTCGCTGCGCTCGTCCCGCAGAGGTCCACCTATAAGTTCCGCAATAATCCACTTATTTGTACAGGGTGTTTTTTCATATTTAACACCCCACCTACAGCCTTTACCTTTACAGTTAGAAGAAAGGTGAAAATACAAAAGTTATACAGCTGTATGCAACACCCTCTTTCAACTTAAAAGCACTTTTTAAAACTGGTCACTTTTAAAAATGTGTATTCTAAGCCATACAAATTTTTGAAGGTACCAGTCTTAAAAAGCGCTTTTAAGTTAAAAGAGGATGTTGCATACAGCTGATACAGTTTTGGTTGAATTTTAGGAAACCATGGTCAAAAACAAAATTTAAATGCCAGAAATGTGAAATTTTGCATGCTTCCAACTTTTTTCAAATAGGATGCCCTATATTTTATTCTATATTCTTGAAGAGCACAATGCCCCGATTCCAAAAATATATAGTTTGTCTATATTTGATTGAGCAGTCTCTCATATATTCGGCTCCAAAAATTGTAAAAATACTATCCTACTACTGATTTTGTGAACAATGTGAACCATCCTACCTGTACAAGTGAAAGCTGCAGGTAAAATTTGAAGTATCTACTTGGTTTCTCGATAGTATTTTTGAAATTTTTAGAACCAAATATGTTGAAGACAGCTCAACCAAATATAGACAAACTTTATAGTTTTGAAATCGGGAAATTGTGCTCTTCAAAAATATAGAACCAAATATAGGGCATCCTATTTGGAAAAAGCTGAAAGCATGCAACATTTCACATTTCTGACATTCAATTTTTGTTTCTGACTATTGATTCTAAAAATTCAGCCAATACTGTACAACTTTTGTATTCACACCTTTCATCTACCTGTAAAGGTAAAGGCTGTAGGTGGGATGTCAATATATAAAAAAAATACCCTGTATATTGTGTTAGAACAGACCCTATATCACACTCTTGTATGATTATCGATTTGACATGAAATCTTGGCCAACATTCTACATAGACAAACTCAATATGCAATATAAATGTCCCGACTAATAAAACTTTATGTCCATATTGAAACTATGTATAGATAACTCACGTGTGGTTCGCCCTTTTTGTGTATAGTTTCCTCGTGATCCAGTAAAACTTCCACAGCTTCAACAAACTCTTCAGAAATAGCGTGCAAAAGTGCATCTTTAGTTTCCACTCTGTATTCGATCAACAATTCAACCATTTCCAAGTTTTCGTTGTCGATTGCCATTAAAAGGGCGCTTCTACCTAGCGGATCCACGCAGTTTATGTTGATGTAGTTCGTGTCGTCAGCTCGCTGAAGCATTCTGTAGAACAAAATAAATTATTCATTTCCAGACACGTTAAAAGGACGGAAAGTTAAAAATTCTTTATTGAAGTTTTGGAAAAGTTCGCCGGCGGCAACTTTTCCTAAAGTGTGTTTTTAACCAAAAGCCAAAGTTACCTTAATTTCAATGGAAATTATGTCTTTGGTATGATAATTTTTCAGTTAAGATTCTTATTTACTATATCTATAGTCAGAATTCACTATTATAGTGCCCTTAATTACCAAATCCAACGTTCAAAGTACATTTAACATAAGATCTCCGACTAGCGGCAATTACAAAAGGGATTAGATTAAACTCAAATGTTGGAGTAGGCCAACCGCAATTTCGGAGGATTAGAGTAGAGTAATGATATAATTGAAAATTCGTACCTTCTGGTTGATGCAACATCGCCCCTTTCTACAGCTAAAAGGAACTTTTTTTCGTCTAAAGTAAGTTGCGCAATTTCTTGATGCGGTCTTATAACGTTCTCCTCCTCCATCATGCCGTGGATGCTGTGCCTCTGAAACAAATTGGAATTTATTTAAGGGCCAATTTACTTTTCTAATCCTAATTGAGGTGCCAGTTAAAAGAACATTTCAACTTTAAACGTAAACCTTATTTATTTGTTGTGAGCTGTTTATTATATTCGTATTTGTATTAACTCTAAAATAATCAGAATTATTTAAGTTCAACTCCAGTAGAGCCAGGTATATAGGATTGAACATTTCAGCTATACAGATGAAATTTTTCAAAACTGGCTAAACTTTAACTCTAAAAGCATTGGAAATTAAAATATTATACCTATGTACTTTTCCAATTCAAAATTCACCTCTTTAGTAAAACAAGGGTTATTAAAATTGAACTTTTCAAATTGCTCGAAGCTAATTTCAACTCTAGAAATGTGAGAAATTGAAGATTTCAACTTCTCCAGTTGAAATTTCAGCTCTTGCAGCACGATTTTCATGTTTTTCAAGTTGTATTTTATTTCTATGAAGATTAAAAATGGGTTTTTTCAATATCTCTGGCTAAAATGGCTGGAATTCCAAGTAACAGGCTTTCTCAGTTCAAATTATGACTTTTGGTGAAACGAAATTGAGATTCTCAAGTAGAAATTCAGCTTTACAAAGGTAAAAAAGTAAAGATGAACCTTTTCATTTGTCTCAAGTAAGTTAACTTTTGCAGTTCAAAATTTGCATCTTGGAGATCCAGAAATAAGACTTTTACGTTTCAGCTGCACGAGTATTAGAAATGAACTTCTTGAACCACTCTGAATCAACTTTAATTCTATATGGTCCAGAAATTGGAGTTTGATACCTACTTTTCCAACTAGGAGAGCCACAAATTAAAATTTAATGTTTGTTTACTTCCAATTTAGCTAAACAAAAGGTTGAAAATGAAAATTTTGAACTATCATGAATAGGAGGGTCAAAAATTGGAGGTCACTATTCTAGGAGAGCCTGGAATGAAAATTGTATTCGTCTTAGTTGAATTTCAGGTCCACGATGAACCTTTTGATCCTCTCCAGTCTAAACCAACTTCTTGCAGTTCAAATTTCACATCTTGGAGAAAATAGGACGCTTCTCAAGCTGAATTTCAGCTCTACTACCGTTTCCAACAGTAATTCAGAAAACATCAAATGTAATAATTCAGAACAATTGAATGAAAATCAGAAAGCATCAACTATAATTTAGACTTAGCAGAAGTAATTCAGAAAGCACTACTTAAATGTATTTCAGATGTATCAAAAGTTATTCAGAAATTAATGAATCTTATTCAGAAGTAGTAACGGGGGCACCTGAGCCTGAGAACTTTTTCGATACCGTGGGAAAATCTCTAAATCGGCGGCGCCTTTGATCTGAGATTCCGGGGGTTTGACCCGGGCCAACACCAAATTTTTTAGGGGTTCTCCCGGGATTTGACTGCAGCTCCTTCAGACCGTTGTTATCGTCTATTCGGGGCGTCGTCGTCTCGTCATCGGGCGTTGTCGTCATCCATCGATCGATTAAAAAAAAGTCTAGTCTAGCCGGGGAATCGAGCCTATACCTATGTACTTGAACAATAGCTTATTGTATAAAGTCAGAATTTGTAAGATTATCCACTCTTTGTTAATTGGCCTTTTAACAGGAATTAGTAATGTTACTTCACCAAACTAGTAACATAATGTGACAAGTTTATTCAAGTACAAAAGAGTGGATTGTTGCGGAATTTATGAGTGGACCTCTGCGGGACGAGCGCAGCGAGTTCCGCAGCCATCTATTCATTAACACATACGTTGTTCAAGAACGATACTAACCTGACTCACTCAAATGTCAGTTATTCTCATTAGTTCAAAAACTACAAGTTTCAGGTGAGTGTCTTATTTGAATAGTTCAACAATATATTGGTGAGTAGATGGAGGTCCACACATAAGTTCCGCAATAATCCACTTATTTGTACTTGAACAAAAACTTATTATATAAAGTCATAATTTATAAGATTATGATTATTCATTTTTTCTCAATTTGCCTTTCAACAGAAATTAGTAATGTTACTTCACCAAACTAGTAACATAATGTGACAAATTATTCAAGTACAAATGAGTGAATTGTTGCGGAACTTATGGGTGGACCTCTGCGGGACGAGCGCAGCGAGTTCCGCAGCCATCTATTCATCAATATGTTGTTTAATTACGATGCTACACTGACTCACTCAAATGTGCGTTATTCTCATTAGTTTAAAAATTACACGTTTCAGGTGAGTGTCCTATTTGAATAGTTCAACAGTATATTGTAACGGGGCACCTGAGCCTGGTAACTTTTTCGATACCGTGGGAAAATCGCTAAATCGGCGGCGCCTTTGATCTGAGATTCCGGGGGTTTGACCCGGGCCAACCCCAAATTTCTAGGGGTTCTAGGGGTTCTCCCGGGATCTATTCATTATTACCTACGTTGTTCAAGAACGATACTACCCCGACTCACTCAAATGTCAGTTATTCTCATTAGTTCAAAAACTACAAGTTTCATGTGAGTGTCTTATTTGAATAGTTCAACAGTATATTGGTGAGTAGAAGGCTGCGGAACTCGCTGCGCTCGTCCCGCAGAGGTCCACACATAAGTTCCGCAATAATCCACTTATTTGTACTTAAACAAAAACTTATTATATAAAGTCATAATTTGTAAGATTATGATTATTCACTTTTTCTCAATTTGCCTTTCAACAGGAATTAGTAATGTTACTTCACCAAACTAGTAACATAATGTGACAAGTTATTCAAGTACAAATGAGTGAATTGTTGCGGAACTTATGGGTGGACCTCTGCGGGACGAGCGCAGCGAGTTCCGCAGCCATCTATTCACCAATATGTTGTTCAAGTACAATACTAACCTGACTCACTCAAATGTCAGTTATTCTCATTAGTTCAAAAACTACAAGTTTCAGGTGAGTTTCTTATTTGAATAGTTCAACAGTATATTGGTGAGTAGATGGCTGCGGAACTCGCTGCGCTCGTCCCGCAGAGGTCCACACATAAGTTCCACAATAATCCACTTATTTGTACTTGAACAAAAACTTATTATGTTAAGTCATAATTTGTATTCACTTTTTCTCAATTTGCCTTTCAACAGGAATTAGTAATGTTACTTCACCAAACTAGTAACATAATGTGACAAGTTATTCAAGTACAAATGAGTGAATTGTTGCGGAACTTATAGGTGGACCACTGCGGGACGAGCGCAGCGAGTTCCGCAGCCATCTATTCATCAATATATTGTTTAATTACGATGTTACACTGACTCACTCAAATGTGCGTTGTTCTCATTAGTTTAAAAATTACAGGTTTCAGGTGAGTGTCGTATTTGAATGGGGCACCTGAGCCTGGTAACTTTTTCGATACCGTGGGAAAATCTCTAAATCGGCGGCGCCTTTGATCTGAGATTCCGGGGGTTTGACCCGAGCCAACCCCAAATTTCTAGGGGTTCTAGGGGTTCTCCCGGGATCTATTCATTATTACCTACGTTTTTCAAGAACGATACTACCCCGACTCACTCAAATGTCAGTTATTCTCATTAGTTCAAAAACTACAAGTTTCATGTGAGTGTCTTATTTGAATAGTTTAACAGTATATTGGTGAGTAGAAGGCTGCGGAACTCGCTGCGCTCGTCCCGCAGAGGTCCACACATAAGTTCCGCAATAATCCACTTATTTGTACTTAAACAAAAACTTATTATATAAAGTCATAATTTGTAAGATTATGATTATTCACTTTTTCTCAATTTGCCTTTCAACAGGAATTAGTAATGTTACTTCACCAAACTAGTAACATAATGTGACAAGTTATTCAAGTACAAACGAGTGGATTGTTGCGGAATTTATGGGTGGATCTCTGCGGGACGAGCGCAGCCAGTTCCGCAGTCATCTATTCATTAATACCTACGTTGTTCAAGAACGATACTAACCTGACTCACTCAAACGTCAGTTATTCTCATTAGTTCAAAAACTACAAGTTTCATGTGAGTGTCTTATTTGAATAGTTCAACAGTATATTGGTGAGTAGAAGGCTGCGGAACTCGCTGCGCTCGTCCCGCAGTGGTCCACACATAAGTTCCGCAATAATCCACTTATTTGTACTTAAACAAAAACTTATTATATAAAGTCATAATTTGTAAGATTATGATTATTCACTTTGTCTCAATTTGCCTTTCAACAGGAATTAGTAATGTTACTTCACCAAACTAGTAATATAATGTGACAAGTTATTCAAGTACAAATGAGTGAATTGTTGCGAAACTTATGGGTGAACCTCTGCGAGTTCCGTAGCCATCTATTCATCAATATGTTGTTTGCTTACGATGCTACACTGACTCACTCAAATGTGCGTTATTCTCATTAGTTTAAAAATTACACGTTGCAGGTGAATGACTTACTTGAACAGTTTAACAGTATATTGGTGATTAGATGACTGCGGAACTCGCAGAGGTCCACCCATAAGTTCCGCAACAATCCACTTATTTGTACTTGAACAATAGCTTATTATATGAAGTCAGAATTTGTAAGATTATCCACTTTTTGTCAATTTGCCTTTTAACAGGAATTACTAATGTTACTTTACCAAACTAGTAATATATTGTAACAAGTTATTCAAGTACAAACGAGTGTATTGTTGCGGAACTTATGGGTGGACCCAGCCATCTATTCACCAATATGTTGTTCAAGTACAACCTGATTCAGTCAGTTGTGAATTTTTCTCATTAGTTCAAAAACTACACGTGTCAGATGAGTGTCTTATTCGAACAGTTCAACAGTATATTGGTGAGTAGATGACTAGAAAGGTCCACCCATAAGTTCCGCAACAATACACTCGTTTGTATGTACGTTCATTACAATGTCCAAGCGTTTCACTTGTTACCTATGAAATTAATTTTCTCAAAAAGGAATCAGTTTTCAGGATTGGTGCAATGGTAACTTTTAATCGGGAAGGCGACATAAACATAAAACAAGACTTAGTAAAATGGACAAAGAAATCCCTGGAATAAACAACCCTGATGAGAATGAGAAAATGAGAAACTTGGAAATCAAACAACCTTGTTGGAAAAATAATCCAGGGCAGGCCATCTAAAGAATGTTGGAAATCTACTTCCTAAAATGCTATAGATAGACATTTATCACAATAATAACTACTTCCAACCAATGAGGTGAATGATATAAATCTCTAGTGAAGTTTCAAATTGCTCTACACAAAAAAATTTGCAGTAATTTTCCAGTTCACCCACCACGTCAATTCTTCCAACCATCAGTTTTCAATAAAAAATTATTTTCAGCGAACGATGCGACCGGAAAAACTAATACTTGTATTCATCATTTCCAGGAAAAATAACTCGAAATTTATTACTTTACAATATACATGGAGATGCGTGCCTTGTCCGCCGGGTTACCTAACCTGTTGGATGGAATTTATGTTCCCTATGGAAAAATGCCGGAGTCATTTGGGGAGGTCATCAAATTAAAACTGAACATCCAATTAGCTTAAATGCTTTCTATGTGTGTGTGTGCTAAAAGATACATATATATTATTCCGGCCGAGGGTCAGTAACATAATATATCTGTTTTGCTGATGACACGTCATTAATATTCATGAAACTTTTTTGTTTTCCTTAACTGAGAATTTTTATTATTGGGCTTTGTCAGAATCTGGATACATTAGAAATTTCTATGCAAATTTTTGCATCCATTAAAACTAATTAGACGTACAGCTAGATTGATATCCAGGATATCCTGACTGGCTGAGCTATAAAGTGGGATTAAGTAATTCAATCCGCTCCATCCCATATAGAGAGGGGTGGGTGACTGAGTGTTTTTAATTTATCATTCGCCTGTCACTGCTTGTTATGTCGGTTTATGGATTTTTTTTTTCTTGGAGAGAAAGTAAACAAAAGGACAATGAGTTTCGAGGGAGTGGCAATATTATGCACGAGAAGTTTCTTGCTAAATTCAATTGAATTCACTGTTCAACAATAATTGTTATGCAATCGAACTCAATATTTATTCAAACGTTAGATTTTTCTTCGAGTTCCAAATATCGCCGCGAGCGGAAATCTCTTGAGCAAAGTCCTGGAAGTGAGTGATTTATTGTTAGAGTTTCTTTCGTTCTTTTTGCCCTCCTCGGTACCTACGTTTTCACATAACTTGCAATGTAAACTAGTTAAAGTAGGTATGAAGCGGTTTTATTGCTTTTCGTTTCGAAACTCACTTGAAATGTTGCTCTTGCGTCAAACAAGAAAATTTATTTTGTTCCTAATTAAAGAAGTTCATTTTTGTGTTTGTTTCAGGAAAATATATGGATTTTTAAGGAAAGGATTCCCAAGTGAAAAGAAAAAATATTGAAATAGATAGGTAGAACATGCCATAATTTGACGTCCTGTTAACGTCGTCAAATGTGACTTGTAGTGCTTTTGCACCAGATTAAAACGTCGTATAATGCAACTAACCTCGTCAATCTATATCGTTTAACGTTTTCCTAACGTCACATCGGTTGTTTGAAAGAGGTAAGGTTACCTGATAACTTTTATGACGCCATCTAGGGCGCCTCAACATAATGCGAATCTCCATAAGGTACTCCAAATACTTCATCAAGTTACCCATTAGCTTTAGGAGCCTTGATCTGAACCTTAAGGCAATCAAGAGTCGAGCATAAGCAAATTATTCATTTGCTGTGTTCATTTTTTCAGAGAGCTTCAATCTGAACGAGTTCAAATATTGGAAAAAATTGTTCAGCAAATATCTAACAAAACCAAAATTCAACTTACTTTGACTTTCTTATCAATAATTGGTGTCTTTTCTAGAAGATTGGTCAAGGCATAATTTTCCACCCTGGGAATGTCGATACAAGTTTCCCTTTTGGGTCCTCCCATGTCTTCTTCTTCTTCTTTTTCCTCCTCATCTTCCAACGGACTTTCTGAAACAAAAAAGAGTTTACATTTACATAAAGCTTATATAAATACTATGTAAATTGGAAGTTTGTACTGTTGAATAGTGTACATTTGATATAAAATTGGGAATTTTGTTGTCTCTTTAAGGGCCAGTTTCACAATTGGTGGTCACCTGCACTGGTTCTCAAAGTAATATTTAGTAGGTAGCGGTTTGACCACAAGTTCGCGAAATAAAGCTCAAGTTAAATAATTTGAAACTTGACCAATGGTTTTGGCTAAACCACACATAACGTGTCTTGTGGTTACCGCGTTTTGTGAAACTGGCCCTAGGGCTTCGTTTTCGAGATAATGGATTTTGAAGGTTTTTCAAAATTTGGAACATTTGAGGCTCAATATCTCAAAAACTATTTGAGATAAATGATCCAATTTTCTTTTATCCTAAAGAGCATTTATTTCTGATTAAGAATATATAAATAGGTATTAGAATTTGTGGGATATTGATTGAGTTACCAGCGATTTTGTGAGGCAATGTCGGATAATAAAAAAATTTCAGAAATGCAAAAATCATTTTTAATTTTTCACAGGCCTTAAAACCTCGAAAAGAAAAATCACGAAAATGCTTTTCCACTAAAATGGACCCCATCTTTCTATTGGTATAATCAAAAATTGAAATATTTAGAAAAATCAAAATTGAAAATTTTCCAAGTATGCAAGGAAAATTCATTTTTAAATATTTCAAAGGGCCATATTTTAGAAACCATAAAAGGTATCGGTACGAAATTTTGTCTAATTGTAGATCTTGATTCGGGCTTCAAAAAAGGTTATTTGGAGCACCGAGCCCTATGGCTTCGTTTTCAAGATAATCGGCATTGAAGGTTTTCCAAAATTTGAAACGAAGTTTCAACTTTGAAACTCAACATCTCGAAAACTATTTGAGATAAACGATCCAATTTTATTTTATCTTAAAGAGAATTTATTTCTGATTAAGAATATATAAATAAGTATTAGAATTTATGGGATATTGATTGATTTACTAGCGATTTTGTGAGGCAATGTCGGATAAAGAAAATTTTTCAGGGCAAAAAATGCAAAAATCATTTTTAATTTTTTACAGGCTTTAAAACATCAGAAATAAAAATCACGGAAATGCTTTTCCACTAAATTTAACCCCCTCTTTCGATTGGTAAAATCAAAAATTGAAAAATTTGGAAAAATCAAAATTGAATTTTTTTTAAGGGGTATGTTTGCAAGGAAATTTCAGCTTCAAATATTTCAAAGGGCCATATTTTAGAAACCATAGAAGGTACTGGTACGAAATTTTGTCTAATTGTAGATCTTGATTCGGGCTTCAAAAAAGGTTAGTTGGAGCACCGAGCCCTATGGCTTCGTTTTCAAGATAATCGGCATTGAAGGTTTTCCAAAATTTGAAACAAAGTTTCAACTTTGAGGCTCAACATCTCGAAAACTATCTGAGATAAATGATTCAATCTTATTTTATCTTGAGGAGCATTTGATTCTGATTAAGAATATATAAATATGCATCAGAATTTATAAAATATTAGTTGAGTTATGAGCGCTTTTATTAGGGAAGGTTCAAAAATGTAACACTTTGCCCATACAACCTTCAACTAGACGCAAAATATCGATACTGAAATTTGTGAATATGGTTTCTAAGGGGATTTAGCTATAAATGTAAAATTTCTATGGAATTTAAAAACAATAGAGCTAATTAATGGCACCATACTCAAACCATCACTTTATAGTTTATTTTATTGTGTAAACTTAATCGAGTTTAAATAAACTGACTAATAAACTTCGTACACCTGTTGTTTTGTAGATAAAAATTATTGAAATCTTAAATACAGAAAAAAATTGAATTATTATTTCAGTTTTTTCCCCCATCACACTCTGCTGGAAGTTTATTAGAGTTTTTCCAAGATAAATAAGTTTCTTCCTGGCCATCAGACGAAACGAGTGGCGATGAAATGGGTCAGCACTAATGAAAAAGACCACAGCAAAAAGAAAATTCGAGTGGGTTTTTTTTTGTTTGGTAATTGAATGTGTCATTCTTTTAGTTTTAGTTCAATATCATTATTAAAATTCCAGCTTCATTGCAGTTCTATCAATCCTCATTTCCTTCTAGCTGTCATTTCCTCTATAAACTTTTTCAGCTTTAAAAATTGAATCGCCCTTTTGAAACCCAAAATTAAAAAACATAATTCTTTTTCTCTTAAAAATGGGTAGATATTTTTCACTTCCGGAGAATTTAATTTATTTTTCAATAAAAGAAAACACTTACTTTTCCACACAAAACTGGAAATTTTATAGTGCTTGGTCATTGTATATTTGTTTATATTCATCACATAATCATCACTAAAACAGCATGAATCCGTACTCGATAACACATAAACGAGCCTTTCGTCGACACTTAAAGCTTCGACTGCGGAAAAAAGCTGCGAATTTCCAGAAGTTCTGTTTATGAAATTTTTGCTGGAATAATACACAAACTTTATAGTAGCACCGAGACATAACTCTAAAAATAGATAGTTGTGTTTTGAGCAATGGCAAAAATATGTGAATAGTTTTTAATTAATAATAAATACACGGTTTTTCCTAATGCTTTTCCAGATAAAATATCACATTTCCACGACTCGTGCAGTTATTTTTATTGGGAAATGGACTAAGAAATAAAAGAACTTGTTAATTATCGATATTCACTATATTTATTATATCGAACACAGCGTGGAAAGCAGAGCGTGTGAAGACATAAGGCCTATTCGGGTTTGGAAAAAGTACGGTTCTAGAACGGTCCAGAAGAATCGCACAGTTTATTATTGAAATTTGTGATAGTCGAGTCGTTGTTATTTTGTTGATCAATAAACTGGACGATTGTTTTGAACCGTTCTAGAACCGTCCTTTTTCCAAACCCGAATAGGCCTTAGAAATAACTATACGAACTGACTCAACATCAAGACAAACCCTTTCTTAAGTAAACGATTGCTCATGTGTTTACCTTACATATAAAAACTATTATAAACACATTCAGTCATCCATAGCTGCGATATAAATTAGCAAACTATAGGCTAATAATCAAAGATTAATTTATTAATTTTTGTTTCACTGATATGAATATCAGTTTATCCAACAATTTTTGTATTTGTTTGAATGCTGAACTATCTATATATTATAAGATTTTTGAAATTCCTTCTTATAATTTACAAATTCATATATCAAAGATTTTTATTGTCATCCCTAAGGTTTCAAAGTTTCAAGACATAAAATTTCCCTCCGTACCGAAAAGAGAGAATCGCAAATCAAATTATCACCTTTTCCTTTGGGTTTGGAATTCAATAACGACGTTATTCTAAAGGTTGCATTTCTCAAGGGACTAAGAAAAACATTGTATTTTTTCCAAAGGAAAATTTCCATTTTGCATTTCCGCTCCAACCACCATAAAAAGGAGAATTATACGTGAAGTTGTTTCAAACTGAGCACAAATCCGGAAAGACATTTCATTTACGTCAACTAACATGTTTTTTTAGTGTCTTTATATATTTGTTTATTCTCTCCAGTGGCGGATACAGTGGGGGGCAGGGGGAGCAACTGCCCCCCCTTTTTTAAATGATCAAATATACATCGGGGCATTGTGCTCTTCAAGAATATGGAATGAAATATAGGGCATTCCATTTGAAAAAAGCTGGAAGCATGCAAAATATCACATTTCTGACATTCAATATATAAAAAAACACCCTGTACAAATAAGTGGGTTATTGCGGAACTTATGGGTGGACCTCTGCGGGACGAGCGCAGCGAGTTCCGCAGCCATCTACTCACCAATATACTGTTGAACTGTTCAAATAAGGCACCTGAAACGTGTAGTTTTTAAAATAATGAGAAAAATTTTCAACTGAGTGAATCAGGTTAGTATGGTACTTGAACAAAATATTGGTGGATTAGATGGCTGGGTCCACCCATGAGTTCCGCTACAATTCTCTCGTTTGTACTTGAATAACTTATCACAATATATTACTAATTTGGTAAAGTAACATTACTAATTCCTGTTGAGAGGCAAACTAACAAAAAGTGGATAATTTTACAAATTCTGAATTTATGTAATAAGTTATTGTTCAAGTACAAATGAGTAGATTATTGCGGAACTTATGGGTGGACCTCTGCGGGACGAGCGCAGCGAGTTCCGCAGCCATCTAATCACCAATATATTGTTGAAGTAAGACATTCACCTGAAACGTGTAATTTTTAAACTAATGAGAAAAACGTACATTTAGTGAGTTAGTATCGTAATTAAACAACATATTATTGAATAGATGGCTGCGGAACTCGCTGCGCTCGTCCCGCAGAGGTCCACCCATAAATTCCGCAACAATCCACACGTTTGTACTTGAATAATTTGTCACATTATGTTACTAGTTTGGTAAAGTAACATTACTAATTTCTGTTGAAAGGCAAATTGACAAAAAGTGCAAACAAACAGTTTGCCCCATTCGGTTTCAAGCGTTCGAGTGTAAAAGGCATGGAGTATGACAGGTGTGAAGTGTTTTAGGAACTTCGCACTTTGCACCTGAAAGCGGCTCAGGCTGAAAATCGCCTCAACTGTCTGTAAACACAACGTTAAGGTCACAAGAGCCTCTGACATTTTATAAACTGTCAGAAAGAATCGCTTAGCTTGAACCGAGGCTTGAACCATTGAGGCTTGAACCTTCGACTGCATTAAAAGCGGTTATTATGTGGTGTTTCCGTATTTAGTGCCATATTTGTGTTTTAAATAGTTCATTAGGATTCACAAAAGCACAGTCTGACAATCTTCCCTCTATAGACCCGTTTGGTGATATAATATCAGTCGTGGCGTGATGTGAGCTGATCGTGAACCAATGGTTCAAGTGAACCACGAAGTGTGGACCGTGGATTCACGATCAGTGTAAACTACCCTTAACTTTAGTTTATGAACAGTTGACGTCACTGGAAGCCGCCATGTTAAACATAACTTTTCCGCGCGAAATTAAATTTCTGCTTTCCAATTCTCAAATTTTTCTGTCTAAATGTTTGTCTATTTCCGGCTCTTGAATTGTTTTCATCGGAATATCTCCAAACACTCACAAGAAAACGAACAGTGATTTCCAGTTTCTAGGAGTACTTTTCAAATTTGGACAGTATTTTCGAGTATTTCTAAATATTCCTAGATATTTCCAAAAACTAAATTTTATTTCCAGCTGAAAAGCAGCAAGTTTTGTTCAGTATTCCCCAAGGTATTTCCAACAAATAAAATAGGCCAATAAAACTAGGGGTCCAACCCGGAACAAATTTGGGACAAGCTGAAATTTTCAGGAAACCTTCTTTAGGTGGTCGACATTAGAGAGATATCGGTAACCCAAAAAGTGTCATGCAGTATTAGCGCCTTCGTTATTTTGACATTAAACCTATGCGCGATTCGATTTTTAACACTACGTACTAAAATAACGTTACCGCATAACGTAATTTACCCAGCATTTACGTTAAGCGCTATTTCGAATAACGCCTAAAAATAACGCCGTGGAATAATATAGGTTATGTTATGTTTATTGTTTATTTTATTTTTGTTGTGTTCAAGTGAATATGGATTGTTCAAAAAATAGTAAAAACGCAAATCCTCTGTCCCTGACCATAAACAACAGACAACACAAATCAAATAACAACAAGGTACAAGTTAGGCTACGGTTATAAAATAACGGATGCGAACAGGCAAATTTTACGTAAAACTGTTTTCCGATAACTCTAATTTAAAAGTATGATACCGCTTTACTTTAAAAAAATAACCCCTGACGTTATTACCGTCCATACGCGCTATCTGATTTACCGATATCTCCCTAATGTTTCCTTAAAAATCGCACTAAATCGCATGGGCCGTACTCGCCCAATCGGGCTTTAAACTCAAAAAGTTGTGTTTTTTTTTTATTTCTTTGGAAATATCTCAAAAACTATAAACTTTTTTGAAAATCTACAATTAAACAAAATTGTTTCCAATAAAAATACCTACAAAATCATTTTTTGTTTTTGAAAATCGGTCTAAAAACAAAAAAGTTATGGACTTATAAAAATTAGACGGATTGGGCTTCGATTCTTTTAAGCAAATTCGACTTTATTAACGCTGACGCAAATTATTTGAATGTTTTTCATAAAAGAAATATGATAGTTGTCATATAAAACCAGTGTGTAAAATTGTATACAAATCACTAGGTATGATTTAATATTTTAGGTACAACGTAACGGGTGGAACGCAAAAATAAGTAAATGATACTTTTGCCAAAATGTGCTGCTACTTACTCGTTTAATAATAATCTCGAATAATACTATGGAAACCGAAAAATACTATTAAAACTAAAGTCCGTATGGCACAGCATCAAATTTGGTACCAAAATGGCACTTTTTAAAGAGTTAGACCAGGGCATGGACGATAACCACCTAGAAAATGTGTTTTCAGTGAGTCTTCTTCCTTGAGTAAGACCTCCTATAGTTTTTATAGAACGCATTTATTCTTGCTCTATTAACATTCTTTGTCCATGTCCCAGACCAGAGTTTATCAGTTCTTTTAACCATAAAGGTTCATTTTGTAAAAAACGTGTCATATTATTCCTCAGAGATCTGATTTCGAAGTTTTAAAATATTTTCTAAATAAATATGGAGTGATTTAGCATATAAGGAAGATGACCTGCAGCATGGAAAAAAGGAAGCATTTCTTTATAACCATATAACTGCAACTCAATGTCACCCAATCTTTTAGATCTTATAAACATGAGGGCTAATAATTCGATCATGTTCCAATATTGATACCAGAGCTTAGAAGTTTTGCTAGAACAATTTTCTCACGAATTTTTGGAGCTATAGATTTGAATGTTGTAAGATCACAAAAATTGAAGTTTTCAGTAAAATTTTGTAGACTGCTTTCATCATCATCACTCACTAAGTTCAAAGTCTATCATCTGTGTAAGTTGAATAGTAAGTGGTTAAAATGTGAGGTCTTAAAGCACGAGCGTAAGAATGCCCACTAAACATAATATGAACTATACTATTTTTTGCCAAGCATCTTCTGATCCGCTCCCACTCATAAAATATCCTACATATCCGAAATATGAAATTAGTTTATGGAAACCACCACCAAGTCTGACAAATACTTTTGATATTTCACTTTCACCTGGGGAAGAAGCAATAATTTTTGAAGCCTTCCAAAAAAGAGGTTAGTCAAAAGTAACAACATAAGTATTTTGTCATTTTGTATTTAGAACTGTGTATATTGTGCTTAAATTGTTTGGGTCTAAATTAACGAAAGGTACTGGTAAAACACGCGTTTTGTTAATTCTCCATTCTCTGACACTTTCAAACACATGAAGCAATTCCAGGAGGGAAAAGCTGGAGCTTTGAAAATATGCCCTATACTATAGAAAAAATTAAGAAACCTAAGAATTTTTTTCATTAGGTACTCTTTCTTCGAAAGTTTGTGGCATATACATACATACATTCCATAATTATTATTGTAAATCTATTAAATTTGTAATATACATATTGAGTTATTGAGTTATACAGTGTCCGCGGAAAAGTCTGCACCATATGGGAAATTTTTTTATGCTCATCCTTACTTCAAATCGGTTTAATAATAAGGAATAAACAAGGTGGTACTAGGTTTACACCAGAGAACGTTTTAAAGGGTTAAACATCAAAAACAAATATTTCTATTAAAATCTTGATACGCCTCTGGACTATTTTAAAAATTGTATGCTTTGAAATATATTTTTTTCAAAGCAAAAATATCAAATTAGACTCTAAATATCATTTGGAACAATATTTTCCTATAAAATTTTTTCATATTTTTCATAAAAATGCCATTTTTCCTTGTTTGAAATATTCAAATGGCATTTGACAGGTGTGAGGCCAGTCTCGAGTTAAAAATTTTAGGTGTTTTTCTGGTTTTCTGTCATGCAGAACCTAATGCCAAAAACCAATTTGAAGTAAAGACGAGCATAAAAAAATTTCCATATGGTGCAGACTTTTCCGCGGGCACTGTATAACTCAATAACTCAATATATTACAAATTTAAAAGATTTACAATAATAATTATGGAATGTATGTATGTATATGCCACAAACTTTCGAAGAAAGAGTACCTAATGAAAAAAATTCTTAGGTTTCTTAATTTTTTCTAAATCGGACTGAACGATGTTTTTAATTCCCGACTCGGCTGGTTTTTTGTATTGTAAAATTGTGGTACATCCGGCATTGCCCCCTTCTTATAAATAATCTATTATATTTTCACTTATTTAACCAAAATCGTTCAATTTTTAGATATAATTGGAGCTCAAGCCGAATTGGCCCATTATTTGAAAGCCCATAAGTTTTTTGTTTTTAGGCCGATTTTCAAAAACAAAAAATAATTTTGTAGGTATTTTTATTGGCAACAATTTTGTTCTCTTGTAGATTTTCAAAAAAGTTTATAATCTTTGAGATATTTCCAAAGAAATTAAAAAAAATCACAATTTTTTGAGTTTAAAGCCAGATTGGGCGAGTACGGCCCATGCGATTTAGTGCGAGTTTTAAGGAAACATTGTCGACCACCTAAAGAAGGTATCCTGAAAATTTCAGCTTGTCCCAAATTTGTTCCGGGTTGCCCCATGTAAATACCTTAGTTTTACTAGACTAAAAATGTTTTCCATGTCCTAGTTATTTCTTTTAGTGTTCAACATATTTTTACAGTAAACTAAACATAATATGTCAACTGTAGGTATTAGGTAATGGGTAATTGGGATGAATGTTTATTATCGTAATTAAACAACATATTGATGAATAGATGGCTGCGGAACTCGCTGCGCTCGTCCCGCAGAGGTCCACCCATAAGTTCCGCAACAATCCACTCATTTGTACTTGAATAACTTATCACAATATATTACTAGTTTGGTAAAGTAACATTACTAATTCCTGTTGAAAGGCAAATTGACAAAAAGTGGATAATCTTACAAATTCTGACTTTATATAATAAGTTATTGTTCGAGTACAAATAAGAGGATTGTTGCGGAACTTATGGGTGGACCTCTGCGGAACTTGATGAATAGATGGCTGCGGAACTCGCTGCACTCGTCCTGCAGAAGTCCACCCATAAGTTCCGCAACAATTCACTCATTTGTACTTGAATAACTTATCACAATATATTACTAGTTTGGTAAAGTAACATTACTAATTCCTGTTGAAAGGCAATATGACAAAAAGTGCATAATCTTACAAATTCTGACTTTATATAAGTTATTGTTACTTTATATAAGTTATTGTTCAAGTACAGGGTGTTTTTTTATATATTGACACGACACCTATAGCCTTCACCTTTACAAGTAGATGAAAGGTGTAAATACAAAAGTTGTACAGTATTGGCTAAATTTTTAGAATCTATGGTCAGAAACAAAAATTGAATGTCAGAAATGTGAAATGTTGCACGCTTTCAGCTTTTTTCAAATGGGATGCCCTATATTTAGTTCTATATTCTTGAAGAGCACAATTTCCCGATTCCAAAACTATATAGTTTGTCTATATTTGGTTGAGCCGTCTCCAACATATTGGGTTCTAGAAATTTTAAAAATACTAGCAGAGAAACCAAGTAAAGCCTGTTTTTTTCAAAGATAAAAGTCAAAATGACATTCTGTTGGCAATACAATGTAAAATTGTCAATGCTTTCAAATTTTTTATGAAGAAAAGGCTTGTGTTGCCAACATAGTTACCAAATTTTTGACTTGGAGAAATATCTTTGAAAAAAAAAACAGATTTTACATACCTTAAATTTTACCTGCAGCTTTCACCTGTATAGGTAGAATGGTTCACAAAATCAGCAGTATAGGATAGTATTTTTACAATTTTTGGAGCCGAATATATGAGAGACTGTTCAATCAAATATAGACCAATTATATATTTTTGGAATTGGGGCATTTTGCTCTTCAAGAATATAGAATGAAATATAGGGCATGCAAAATTTCAAATTTCTGACAGTCAAATTTTGTTTCTGACCATGATTTCTAAAAATTTAGCCAAAACTGTACAGGGTGGTCCAAATTGGACTAACCCAATCTGGCTTACTTTAACTTAAACTGCCCCTCCCTTTCAAAAGGCCTGTATCCGCCCCTGATTCTCTCTGTAGTGAAGTCAAATGTCCATTTTCCTTTCGTCAAAAGTCCAGAGGGGACGATAAAGAGTCACTCATGTACATTGTCTAGAGTCTATTTAATTGTCCGCAGTGTACAAACTAAATTGGCGTTTGATTGTTTGATTAATCGAATCGAAATTTGAGTGGCTCGAAGGACAGCTACAAGATTGCCAGATGAGAAATAATATTATGGATTATTATTATTTAATGGGCCCCCCAGAAGGGTCTCAAATTGATCCAGGAACTGTTGAAACAATAACATTTAATGTGCGACATTAAATTCCAAGAAATAATTAAACTTTATTTAGATTAAGTTCGGTTATTAAAAATTTATGAGCTAAGCCAGGTTCGTAATAAAATATTTTTCGTAAATAAAACGCAATCCCGCATTTGCATCGAGAATCCAAAAGGAAAAACCTCATATAAGCTCACCACATCTTCTTCGATATATTATTACCTGCTTGAGGCAGATAAAATATAAATCTTCATGACGTAAATAAACCAAAAGAGAACTTCAGATGGTAATTTTAACGTTGCGTTATTAAACCAACAATAAAAACGCTAAATTCTAGATTAGATTTACATCAGAACATAGAAACTTGAAGAGTCGATTAAGCCAAAGTTTACTTTTTAAAATGATGAGAAATACAATAAACTTTCTGCTCAAGTGATAATCATTTTACTAAATCACGCATTTAAAACCAAATTATCAGCTCTCTAATCCGGTTCTGGTGGCAGACTACCATCGAATACCCATTCAAGGAACCATCAAATGATTCACAATAACTCGAGCTGTTCAAACGTCGTGTTTTGGTGACCCCTAGTCCATTAAAATGTCAATATTGGCCAGCTTATCGCTTATTATTGATAATAGTTAAATTAAAATAAATAAGTCTTGTGTGTGTGTGTGTTCAGTTATTGTAAGAACATGAATTCGAAAGCTGTGATATGTGTTTTTGTGTTTTTGTTTTGTTGCGATGTAGAATGCAGAAGGAGTAAGTAAAAGCTTAATTATTGTCGAAAAAATAAAACAGAAAAGTTGTCCTGATTGTATATAAACAGGTTTTGATATAGGATAGAAGTATACCTATATTACTTAGTACATATAATATATTGTTCAGCTGAATTCTATCATCCTTGGTAGGTACCCAATGCACACATTGATTTAGAACCAGTTTCTGACTTATTTCTGTTGGTAGCTCATTGACTGGCCAAATCATTATTTTGGTTTTTACTTGGTTAGATTATCTTGTTTTTTGCTGAGCCCTGATCACAGATTCCAACAGTTAACTTCACGACATTAAGAATTACATTTTATTCTAGGCGGTGGTGGATCTCGAACATCATACAGCCGTCCGTCTTATTCACGTCCCTCCTACAGCCCATCGCCCAGCTACAGTAGACCATCATACTCCCACCCTAGCCCATCATCCCTGAGTTATCCAAGCTGGCACCCAGCGCCTGCTAGTCGACCAGCTCCAGCACCTGCTCCCAGTCATCCATCTCCCAGCTCCAGCGGCGGAAATTATGGTTTCAAACCTTCAGTTACCCATGGTAGTGAACACGCAACTAATGTCCAGCCTGTTGGTAGTGCACCTCATCCACCTCCGATTGGATTTAAACCTTCGGTGACTCATGGTACTGAACACGCAACCAATGTCAAGCCTGTTGGTAGTGCACCTCCGATTGGTAGTGGACCTAATCCACCTCCAATTGGGTTCAAAGCTAGCGCGCCTCCTGCAGAACACCACGCCAATAGTGGTAGTCCACCATCTTATGGGTTCAAGCCTAGCGCCCCAGTAGGACCTCCAGTTAATAGTAAGCCCGTTGGAAATATACCACCTGGTGCGCCTTATCAAGGTAAACTTTATTTCACAGATTATTACTTTATAATGCTAATTTTTAAATATTTCAGTTCATCCGCCACCTTATACACCACATAATCCAGGCGTGCCTCCACCAGCTTACAATCCAGCTGGATATGGTGCGCCACCTGCCTACAATCCTGCAGGTTATGGACACCCTCCAGCTTACAATCCTGCTGGCTATGGACAAGCTCCAGCTTATAATGGACATTATCCTCAGCAACAATACCACCCTGGGACACCAGGTAAATATTTCTTGTAGATTTCAATCAATTAAGTCCAACATTATCAAAGCGACTCAAAACTTTAAGGATTTATTAATTGGAGTGTTTTTAACATATAAATTAAATTTGAAGCTCAGAAATAGAGTTATGAAGTTTATTCCAACTTGATGCTGAAAATTCTTATGAAATTCATTTTAAACCACTTTTGAAACATTCTAAAAAATACTTAAAGCGGTCAGAGCGGTTCAAAACTTTTAGGATTTATTAATTAAAGTGTTTTTTAAAAAAAGAAAAAAATTTGAAGTAGATCTGAAACCCACAAGTAGAATTATGAACTTTCTTTCAAGTTGATGCTGAAAATTCTTATAAAATTCATCTAAAAACACTTTTGAATCATTATAAAGAATACTTAAAGCGGTCAGAGAGGCTCAAAACTTCCAGGATTTATTATTTAAAGTGTTTTTCATTAACAAATCAAATTTGAAGTAAATCTGAAGCCTAGAAGAAGAATAATGAACTTTCTTCCAAGTTGATGCTGAAAATTCCTCTAAAATTCAACTAAAACCACCTTTGAAAATTCTGAAAAATACTTAAAGCGGTCAGAGCGGCTCGAAACTTTCAAGATTTATTAATTAAAGTGTCAAATTTGAAAAGAATCTGAAGCCCAGAAGTAGAATTGTGGACTCTGTTCCAAGTTGATGCTGAAAATTCTAAAAAAATTCATTTAAAACCACCTTTGAGACATTCTGAAAAATACTTTAGGCGGTCAGAGTGACTTAAAACTGTCAGGATTTATTAATTAAAGTATTTTTAATTTATAAATCAAATTTCAAGTAAATCTGAAGCCTGGAAGTAGAATTATGAACTTTCTTCCAAGTTGATGCTGAAAATTCTTATAAAATTCATCTAAAATTACCTTTGAAATATCCTTAAAAATACTTAAAAGAGCCAGAGCAACTCAAAACTTCCAGGCTTTATTAATTGAAGTGTTTTTGATAAACAAATCAAATTTGAAGTAAATCTGAAGCCTAGAAGAAGAATAATGAACTTTCTTCCAAGTTAATGCTGAAAATTCCTATAAAATTCAACTAAAACCACCTTTGAAAATTCTGAAAAATACTTAAAGCGGTCAGAGCAGCTCAAAATTTTCAAGATTTATTAACTTAACTGTTTTTAATAAATTAGTCAAATTTGAAGTGAATCTGAAGCCCAGAAGTAGAATTATGGACTCTGTACCAAGTTGATGCTGAAAATTCTAAAAAATTTCATTTAAAACCACCTTTGAGACATTCTGAAAAATACTTTAAGCGGTCAGAGTGACTCAAAACTGTCAGGATTTATTAATTAAAGTGTTTTTAATTCATAAATTAAATTTCAAGTAAATCTGAAGCCTGGAAGTAGAATTATGAACTTTCTTCCAAGTTGATGCTGAAAATTCTTATAAAATTCATCTAAAATTACCTTTGAAATACCTATCCTAAAAAATACTTAAAGGAGCCACAGCAACTCAAAACTTTCAGGATTTATTATTTAAAGTGTTTTTCATTAATAAATTAAATTTGAAGTAAATCTGAAGCCTAGAACTAGAATTATGGACTTTCTTTTAAGTTGTTACTAAAAATTATTATAAAATACATCTAAAACCACCTTTGATAATTCTGAAAAATACCTAAAGCGTTCAGAGCGACTCAAAACTTTCAAGATTTATTAATTAAAGTGTTTTTAATAATTAAGTCAAATTTGAAGTAATTCTGAAGCCCAGAAGTAGAATTATGGACTTTCTTTTAAGTTGTTGCTAAAAATTCTTATAAAATTCATCTAAAATCACTATTGAAATATTATGAAAAATAACTAAAGCGTTCAGAGCGACTCAAAACTTTCAAGATTTATTAATTAAAGTGTTTTTAATAGTTAAGTCAAATTTGAAGTAAATCTGAAGCCCGGAAGTAGAATTATGGGCTGTCTCCCAAGTTGATGCTGAAAATTCTTATAAAATTCATCTAAAACCACCTTTGAAACATTCTGAAAACTACTTAGAGCGGTCAAAGCGATTCAAAACTTTCAGGATTTATTAATTTTAAAGTGTTTTTGATAAATAAATCAAATTTGAAGTAAATCTGAAGCCCAGAAGTAGAATTATGGACTTTCTTCCAAGTTGATGCTGAAAATTCTTATAAAATTCATCTAAAATCACCTTTGAAACATTCTCAAAAATACCTAAAGCGGCCAGAGCGACTAAAAACTTTCAGGCTTTATTAATTGAAGTGTTTTTGATAAACAAATCAAATTTGAAGTAAATCTGAAGCCTAGAAGAAGAATAATGAACTTTCTTCCAAGTTGATGCTGAAAATTCCTATAAAATTCAACTAAAACCACTTTCAAAAATTCTGAAAAATACTTAAAGCGGTCAGAGCGGCTCAAAACTTTCAAAATTAATTAACAAAACTGTTTTTAATAAATAAGTCAAATTTGAAGAGAATCTGAAGCCCGGAAGTAGAATTATGGACTCTGTTCCAAATTGATGCTGACAATTCTAAAAAAATTCATTTAAAACCACCTTTCAGACATTCTGAAAAATACTTTAAGCGGTCAGAGTGACTCAAAACTGTCAGTTTTTATTAATTAAAGTGTTTTTAATAAATAAATCAAATTTGAAGTAAATCTTAAGCCCAGAAGTAGAATTATGAATTTTCTTCCAAGTTGATGCTGAAAATTCCTATAAAATTCATCTAAAACCACCTTTGAAACTTTCTGAAAAATTCTTGAAGCTGTCAGATCGCCTCAAAACTATCAGAATTTAATAATTAAAGTGTTTTTAATAAATAAATCAAATTTGAAGTGAATCTGAAGCACAGAAGTAGAATTATGAACTTTCTTCCAAACTGATGCTGAAAATTCTTATAAAATTCATCTAAAACCACCTTTGAAACATGCTGAAAAATACTTAAAGTGATTAGAGCGGCTCAAAACTTTTACGATTTATTATTTAAAGTGTTTTTTAATAAATAAATCAAATTTGAAGTAAATCTGAAGCCCAGAAGTAGAATTATGAAGTTTGTTCCAACTTGATGCTGAAAATTCCTATAAAATTCATCTAAAACCACCTATAAAACATTCTGAAAAATATCTAAAGCGGTCAGAGCGACTCAAAACTTTCAGGATTCATTAATTGAAGTGTTTTTAATATACATACAAATGAAATCACCTGGAAGATACTTCAAGGAATTTTTATTTTTCAGGTGGCTACCCAACCAACAATCACTACTATGGTGGTACACCAGGCGTCACCAACATAAACATCAACAATATAAACACCAATACCCACCATGGCTATGGTGGTGGATATGGTGGAGGTTATGGTGGTGGTTTTGGATATCATTACCCAAGCTATTCGTACTCCTACCACGACACTGGCAGTACCAGCTTAGGCTTCTTTTTAGGCTACTCCCTAGCCAAAATAACAACCCCCACCTACCACTCCAGTTCCAGCTTCTACAACGGCTACACTCCAAGGTACGACCACTATGAAGTCCATCACTACTACCACAACAAAGATGCTGTCCCGGCTCAAAGTACCATCCAAGCGAACACAATTGTGGGTTGCATCGGAGACAGCGGTACCATTTGTCCAGTGGGTACCAAATCGCTTTGCACGAGCAACGGGGCTATTTTGTGCGTGGCCAGCGCCACTAGTACGGTACCTTGCGCCAATCAGACTCAAGGGAATTGCGTTACCACCACGATACCTTGCGTCGAAGGTTCCAAGGATTGTCAAGTGGGGCAAAATAAAACTGTTACTATACCGTGCATTTCGAATGCTAAAGTACCAGGGAATATTACTTATGTTAATAATACTGTTATTGTTAATAATACTACTATTATTAATAATAATTTTGTGAATGGTACTACTAATGTCGTGAACGGTACTACTGTATTGGCTCAAAATGCTTCAATTCCAGTAGTAAGCGATCAAATAAGTAATTCAACAACTACTACTGAAGTACCAACAACAACGACTATGAGTTTGAATGGTACCACCACGACTGAGGCTAGTAGAAGTAAAAGGGAAGTTCCTGCAGTGCCAGTGAATGATTTTTGTGTGACGATTTTGGCTTTGCCTGCGGAAAGGAAGCCTACAGAGCAGGAGAAGATTTTGAAGAGTGGTACTAGTATATTTTCCAAGTTTTTAGTCAGAGCTTTGGGAGCACCATAATTATTGTAATATATTATTGATTTGTTTTATTTTTCAAACTTAAGACTGATGAGTTTTGAATTTCCTCCCATTTTCCACTGAATATATCACTAGGGCTTCATTAGAACTGCTAACTTTCCAAAGCATAAAATTATCCAAGAGAGAATCGCAAATCAAATTATTACTTTTTCCTTCAGGTTTGAAGTTCAATATAACGATGTTATTCTAGAATGCATTTTTCAAGCAAAAAAAAAACTGTTTTTCCTAGAGAATGTTTCCATTAATCTAATTTTAGTTTATGCGTTTGAAACAATCACCCTAGTAGATTAAAAGTTGTATAGAAACAGAAGTAAATATCAATAATTACCTGGGTTAGGTCCTCCGTCGTCATGATCTGTCCATTCTGAAAACTAAAATAGAAATTTATTAGTAACATAAAAGCCAATTTTATTCAATATTCATGCAGCCAATTGAATCCAGATTTACTTGGCTTTGGAGCCAGTAGTAACCCGTTTTTATTATCCCATTACGTCAGGCGCAGACCGGAAATGGATATAATTATTATTCCAGATTGCTGAAGCTCCGAGGAGCCGACTGCGGGGGAAACCTTTTAAAAATTTCCTTTTCAGAAAATTAAACTGGCTTTTATTTGACTCTATTGAAGCGGAGAATTTTCTTAGAAAATTGGTTGAATATTTGCAAATTAGCTAATTTTCAAACAAAAATTCCCTGCCTCATATTATTCATCCTCAAGCTTCCAAATTCGTTTTTATCAAGGATGCATAAATCAAGCTAAAGCCCATTTTGAGGCTCCGCCACAAATCTTCCGAGACAAGAATCACGATCTATATCCTCCATTATCCATTGTATTGTGTTTTTGGTAAAAGAAAAACGAGCCGGTTGAAAAACTTTTCCTTTTTATCGATTGCTCAAAAACTTTTGGTTCATTCGCAAATGTAAATTTGTTTTCTCTCGACGTTTTCCGTTATTATTTCTCCAAGTCGTTTTCTAACATCGTCATCGTAACGACGGCGCGACGTTGTTCTTTGTCCGTTGGAAATTGAATAAAAAGGAAAAGTGGATAATGATAGACCATAAAAGCATTAAGTACGAATTCTAATAAAGCTGGATTTTTATATTTACCCTATTTCAAAAGATACATTTACAAATAATTATGGAATAGTTGGTAGAATAGAAACATATATGGGAAAGAGGTCAAAAGTCAAAAAGATATGTTGAGCAAATTCTTTGCAACTGATTCTTGAAAAAACGATTAAGTACCTATACGTATGTTATCGATAATTATAAGTGACAAAATAATCTGATTCCATGTTGTAAGTAGTACTTGTTCAAACACTCCATATTTTATCTGCACAGAGAATGAAAAGTTTTCGATTATGAAAGGGTTAATAGTGGTTACCTAATAACTTAAAATTTTAAGTTTATTGAGGTCACACGAAAGGTAGGTATCGGTCCTCCGGAATTATTATCGACTTTTAAACGGCTCAAAAGCCATCGGCCTACTCTATGGGGATTGTAAACATTAAAAACGGGGTCTTTGACACATTGACCCGCGTCGAAGGAAAAAGGGGGTCGTTGCATTTTCCTGGGTTTCGACCAAATCCGGCTATCGCGTGATATTTTCCATAATAATTATTTTGTTTCCTGATGATGATGGAGGAATTTATGACTATTTTGTTACTATAATAAAATCTATTGGATTGTTTTTAACAAGTCATCATTGGACTATTTTTGGAGTCTTTTTATTAGTGCTTTAAGAACTTACAAGTCTTCAATTTTTCTAATAATAATCAAATTCAACTTTAAGGCTCAATTGCTCAAGGGTACTGTACAGTGGCGGATACACTGGGGGGGCACTCCCCTTTTTAAAATAATCAAATATACATCGGGGCATTGTGCTCTTCAAGAATATGGAATGAAATATAGGGCATCCCATTTGAAAAAAGCTGGAGGCATGCAAAATATCACATTCCTGACATTCAATATATAAAAAAACACCCTGTACAAATAAGTGGATTATTGCGGAACTTATGGGTGAACCTCTGCGGGACGAGCGCAGCGGGTTCCGCAGCCATCTACTCACCAATATACTGTTGAACTGTTCAAATAAGACACCTGAAACGTGCAGTTTTTAAACTAATGAGAAAAATTTTCAACTGAGTGAATCAGGTTAGTATTGTTCTTGAACAACATATTGATGAATAGATGGCTGCGGAACTCGCTGCGCTCGTCCCGCAGAGGTCCACCCATAAGTTCCGCAACAATCCGCTCGTTTGTACTTGAATAACTTATCGCAATATATTACTAGTTTGGTAAAGTAACATTACTAATTCCTGTTGAGAGGCAAATTGACAAAAAGTGGATAATTTTACAAATTCTGACTTTATATAATAAGTTATTGTTCAAGTACAAATAAGAGGATTGTTGCGGAACTTATGTCTATTCCCGGCTCTTGAATTGTTTTCATCGGAATAAAAAACAATAGAGGCCATTTTGACGATGTACCAGTGAGAAAGCATAGTCTAAACGATCAAGTCAAATCTAAACGCCATCCTAGACAAATCAACATGTTGCCGATTTTATTTTGGAAAAAACCTTTATTGGACTTCTCGTCGAATAAATAGGGAAAAAATGCCTTTTTAAATTTGATAAAAGTGCAAATAAACTGAGTAACTAGAAAAACCCCTCAATGCAGATTTTTGATAGTTTCAAGTTGTTTGTTTTAGTAAAAAGGAGCTTAGAAAATATTGTTATTATTCAAGTATTCTTATTTATTTTTCAACGTGACAACATCGCATAGTAAAACGGCGTCAAAGCTGACAGTTAACGTCAGTTTGATTGTGCCTTGTTGCCTTTTGTTAGAAAGCATCGTGAAATCGTTTTTGTGAGGTTTTTCTGATATTTTATGTTTGGAAAGTGAATTATTTATGTGTTTTAAGACTAATATTATACAGCAATATGGTTAGACAGTGTCAAATGTGTGAAAAATTGGATTATTTGAACCCGGAAATTTAATTTCATAGGTAAGTAGGGGGTTATATTATGATAGCAAAGCAGTGGCGTAGAATAGGATATAATGTACCTACAGGGTTATTGGTTATAAATGTCACCCCCCTCTATCTTTTTTATTTGACATTTTAGAAAAAAGAGTCCCAAATAAAAGTTTTATGGTTGAAATTAAATTTTTTGAAAAACTCACTTTCGCATATACAGGGTGTTTTAGAAAAGCTGGTCGCGCTCCAACTTTCTTATTTTGAATAGAATACCCTGTATATTATTGAATATTCGGATTCTACATAAAATTTTGAGCAGATTTCATGTGATAAACCCTATACCTAAGTTCAACTGTTTTGGAAATATTGATGGTTGAAAATTGACTTTTTGCAACTTTGACAGGCTGTAAAACCTAAACGGTTAATTTTAGAGCAAAACCGATCCTATGTTTTTATCTTGGATTTTCATAATCTATCAGTTGACACTGATATTTGACATACCAACTTTGAATTTAATCCATGATTAAAAACTCAAATTAAATTTAATCTCAATCCTAAATTCAAAGTTGATGTCAAATCATAGCTTATGAAAATCTAAGAAAAAAATGTTAGTTCGGTTTTGCTCTAAGATTAACCGTTTAGATTTCACAGCCTGTCAAAGTTGCAAAAAAGTCAATTTTCAACTGTCAATATTTCCAAAATAGTTGAACTTAGGTATAGGGTATATCACATGAAATCTTCACAGAATTTTACGTAGAATCTGAATATTCAATAATATACAGGGTGTTCCATTCGAAACAAGAAAGTTGGAGCACGACCAGCATTTCTGAAACACCCTGTATATGCGAAAGAGAGTTTTTCAAAAAATTTAATTTCAACCATAATACTTTTATTTGAGACACTTTTTTCTAAAATGTCAAATAAAAAAGATAGAGGGGGGTGACATTTATAACCAATAACCCTGTACCTACTTCGCCAGAAAAAATATGAAATTTGTTCCAAGATTGAGGAAATTATTTGGATTGATGAGATAATTATATCAGATAAATAAAAACATACCTATTACATTACTGAAAGGTATAATGTATTTTTTGAAGCTTGTAATCTTTGAGTTACCAGTTGTTAATTTTGATAATTATGAACTATGAATTTCTATAGGAGAAATCCAAGCAGAATAATAATAATCCTTATATTTGATTAAAGTTAAATATGCGTCTTTGTAGGATTTCAACAAATCCAGAGCGCAGGCGTGTATGGATTTGCATTCTAGGATTAGAAAATAAGCGAATACCCAAAATCGCTGATGTTTGCTCAGATCATTTTAACCTCAATGATATATATGCACTAGGCCTAATGGATTTAGATATTTGAAATCTGGTTGGGATTCTTCACCTGTTTCCAATGTTTTCAATACTTCAAAGTAAGTTAGTTATTTAATACCTATTTGATATAGTTTCTACATATTAGCTACAATAATTTCCAGTTCAGACCTCAGCTCAGACTCTTCAGTCATAAAGTCTCCTTCAAAAACGAAAGTAGTGTAAGTAGATGTTGGTTTGAGATAACAAAAAATATTGAATTATTGCTTATATTATGCAGACTACAAAAAATGAATTTGAATGATTTTATCTTTGAAATCAACAATGACAACGACATTCTGACGACAATCTGACAACGTACTTATTTGCAGTATATTTTTGATAGTTATGGACTGACGTCATATTTGGCGGGTTTTTCTGCGGCGTTTGAAATGCTGCTGAATTTATATTTTTTATTAAACATTATCGGCAACTCAAATGTTCCCCAAAATAGTGTTATTAGACTTTAGTTTGTGTTCTAGAATTAGAAAAAATAAATAAGAAAAAAAACGTTAAATATCCCCATTGTTGAGTAAACATGTCTTAAATCATATTTTTTTGACAATAAAATTTCCATTCCTAAATAATTTTAATAAAGTCTATACACTGTTCAAAGTTTTTGACGCTGATTGGAAATCACGCACTCGAAAAAGTCTATACACTTTATAAACGGACTATAAGAGAATATGGATGTTTTTTTTTCTATTCCAGGCTCTTGTTTGACAAATTCAAGAGCCGGGAATAGACAAAAATTAAGAAATAAGGGAGAAGGAATGAAAGAAAAATTGAGAAAAAATTGGTAGATAAGAGAACAAGAGGGTATTCATGTTTTTTTCTATTCCAGGCTCTTGTTTAACAAATTACCATGGGGGTGGTTTTTTTGAGAGTTCAGTTCAAATTGCAATTAATGTTGAATGAGAACGACAAAGTAGGGAAGTAATCGGTAAGAGGGGCGGCAAAAATACCTTTTGCACGGGGCGCCGAAATGTCTGGAGCCGGCCCTGTATTTTGTAATGTAACATGAATTTGATTGATCTAACACTGCTGTATTTATTTCATTTTAGATAGTAGACCTAATTCCTAAGATCT